TCCTAGACGCAGCAAAATTACTTGGGAGTGGGACGCAAGGTTCTTAAAAACGATGCGTCCGCGGACTCGTGATCGGACGCGTCCACGTTAGCGAGAAAATTCGGGTGATTTCGAAAACGGGGAATTTAGATGTTAGGATTTGTCAAAGAAATATTTAATCGAAACCTTCCTGTAACTATCATAAAGTTTATCCAAGAAACAACTTTTCTTATACTTACTTCTCTTTTTTTAAAACAGGGATTGATCATAAGATATTTCATGTTTATTAGTCCATAGTCATAATAGTGTCGCATGCCAAACTCCGACAGCTGTAAACACACTGCAGCTTTTTTTTAAAAACACTTTTGAATCTTGAGTGTTATCTACATGTAGAAACCATAATTACTGCTTGTATACACAATGCGGCTTGATTACCTCGTGAATTTCACCCAGTGCAGACGACCGACAGGATTAGTTACGCTTCATTGCACATGACACCTGTGATTGTATACAGTCAACTTCTGGGTACTTGATTTTTTAGCTTTATAAACACCAAGTTATTTTTATGGCAATTGATTACGCGTGTATTTTAGAATATAGCTTGAATGCGTTACCAGTTTATATACTTGAATATGTTAATACTGCGTAAACAAACTGATAAAATGATAAAGATTTTTATTGATGTTTGGATGGAAGGATACTGCAATAATTTAGTTGGGACTCAACATAATTTTTCTGGGACGAATCAAATTTAGCTGGGACGCAACCTTCTCAGAAACCTTGAGTCCTGGGACTCAAGTTAGCAAAATCCTAGTGAGAACCCTGTATAGTTACACTGTAATAATGAGTTGTAATATCCAGTCCACATGACCTCTGGTTTGTACAGGATAAGTTATAGTTACACTATTAATGTGTTGTATTGTAATTTCCAGTCCACATGACCTCTAGTTTGTACAGGATAAGTTATAGTTACACTATAATAATGTGTTGTAATATCCAGCCCACATGGCCTCTGGTTTGTACAGGATAAGTTATAGTTACACAATAATGTGTTGTATTGTAATATACACATATTGTCATTTCACAATTGTGATACAGGAAGTAGTTTTTAAATTAACTTTGCAATGACTTGCTAAACAAAAGCTTGGCATAGCTTATAAAACTTCAGAAACAGATATCAAAATTAGAAACTCATGGATGTATTATCAGTTTATCAAAATTTCACAATGAATTGTCCGCATGGCCTCTGCTTGTACAGGATAAGTTATAGTTACACTATAATGTGTTGTAATATCCAGTCCACAGTCCTCTGGTTTGTACAGGATAAGTTATAGTTACACTATAATGTGTTGTGTTGTAATATCCAGTTCACATGGCCTCTGGTTTGTACAGGATAAGTTATAGTTACACTATAATGTGTTGTACTGTAATATCCAGTCCACATGACCTCTGGTTTGAACAGGATAAGTTATTGTTACACTATAATGTGTTGTATTGTAATACCAATCCCACATGACCTCTGGCTTGTACAGGTTAAGTTATAGTTACACTATAATGTGTTGTATTGTAATATCCAGTCCACATGGCCTTTGGTTTGTACAGGATAAGTTATAGTTACACTATAATGTGTTGTGTTGTAATATCCAGTCCACATGACCTCTGGTTTGAACAGGATTAGTTATAGTTGCACTATAATGTGTTGTATTGTAATACCCATCCCACATGACCTCTGGCTTGTACAGGTTAAGTTATAGTTACACTATAATGTGTTGTATTGTAATATCCAGTTCACATGGCCTCTGGTTTGTACAGGATAAGTTATAGTTACACTATAATGTGTTGTAATATCCAGTCCACATGACCTCTGGTTTGTACAGGATAAGTTATAGTTACACTATTAATGTGTTGTATTGTAATTTCCAGTCCAGATGACCTCTAGTTTGTACAGGATAAGTTATAGTTACACTATAATGTGTTGTATTGTAATATCCAGTCCACATGGCCTCTGGTTTGTACAGGATAAGTTATAGTTACACTAATAATGTGTTGTATTGTAATTTCCAGTCCACATGACCTCTACTTTGTACAGGATAAGTTAAAGTTACACTATAATGTGTTGTGTTGTAATTTCCAGTCCACATGACCTCTAGTTTGTACAGGATAAGTTAAAGTTACACTATAATATGTTGTATTGTAATATCCAGTCCACATGACCTCTAGTTTGTACAGGATAAGTTATAGTTACACTATAATGTGTTGTATTGTAATACCCAGTCCACAGTCCTCTGGTTTGTACAGGTCCTGGATAAGTTATAGTTACACTATAATATGTTGTATTGTAATTTCCAGTTCACATGGCCTCTGCTTGTACAGGATAAGTTATAGTTACACTATAGTGTGTTGTAATATCCAGTCCACATGGCCTCTGGTTTGCACAGGATAAGTAATAGTTACACTATAGTGTGTTGTAATATCCAGTCTACATGGCCTCTGGCTTGTACAGGATAAGTTAAAGTTACACCATAGTGTGTTGTAATATCCAGTCCACATTGCCTCTGGCTTGTACAGGATAAGTTATAGTTACACAATAATGTGTTGTATTGTAATATCCAGTCTGCATGGCCTCTGCTTGTACAGGATAAGTTATAGTTACACTATAGTGTGTTGTAATATCCAGTCCACATGGCCTCTGGCTTGTACAGGATAAGTTATAGTTACACAATAATGTGTTGTATTGTAATATCCAGTCCACATGGCCTCTGCTTGTACAGGATAAGTTATAGTTACACTATAATGTGTTTTAATATCCAGTCCACATGACCTCTGGTTTGTACAGGTTAAGTTATAGTTACACTATAATGTGTTGTACTGTAATATCCAGTCCACATGGCTTCTGGTTTGTACAGGATAAGTTATAGTTACACTATAATGTGTTGTATTGTAATATCAAGTCCACATGGCCTCTGGTTTGTACAGGTTAAGTTATAGTTACACTATAATGTGTTGTACTGTAATATCCAGTCCACATGGCTTCTGGTTTGTACAGGATAAGTTATAGTTACACTTATAATGTGTTGTATTGTAATATACACATATTGTCATTTCACAATTGTGATACAGGAAGTAGTTTTTAAATTAACTTTGCAATGACTTGCTAAACAAAAGCTTGGCATAGCTTATAAAACTTCAGAAACAGATATCAAAATTAGAAACTCATGGATGTATTATCAGTTTATCAAAATTTCACAATGAATTGTTTTAAATTATAACTTAAACATACTTTTCCACGGCATCGTCCTTCTGCGGAATCACGTTATGTTCAATCAGCGGGTAGAAAATTACGAGGATTTCTCTGATCGCCATTGCTTGTCTTCAATACCATTTATGATTTTAAGAACCCAATGACAAATTTCGCAGAAAATCTGTATAAATACAAAAATATAGGGCTTTCATGAGTACACGATATAACCGAGTCATGAGGACACGAAATACTGAGAACCGCGGTCCAAGTTGTTCGGTTTGGTTTAGGTTCTATTTTTCCGGGTCTGGTTTATATATTAGAGTCTGTTCAATACAAAAAAAATGGCGTCGAAATCAAAATAATGATGACGATAACAGTGATAAATAAACATCACAACTGAAATCTACTTCATTCCATGACAAAACACTTGTCACGGAAGTATTAGATAATTATCAAAACGAGCAGGAATGGTCAGGTTGTGGCTAATAGTAGGCCAAGTAGTTCTACACACCGATGTCTAGACGTTCGCATGGTTAAGACTTGTTTTCAATGTAAATTTAATGTAACAAATAAAGATTTTTCAAGTTAAATTCATGAAATTAAGGTTTAAAATACCTAGGTGTAAATAACCGAACTGAAAAACCCGAAACCGAACCGAAAATTTATGGAACCGACCCGACCCGAAAAATTTTGGAACCGTGACAGCCCTACAAAAATACAAAAAATGGCGTACATTATAGAAATTAATCTCACATGTAAAATGTAAAAAAAAAAAAAAAAAAAGTACCAGTAATTCAAGCTTATATGAGACAGATCACTTTGTGTGATCTATTGGATATTGTCCATCATTAACTTGTGTTTTCCTTGAAATCTTAACTTCTTGAAAAAGTATTGTCTGTGATAAGCAAAAAGATAAAGTAACACTGAAAAATTAATATTTGATACTTGTATCATAAAATGCAAAGGACAAGAAAGACTACTCCATGAGAGAAATAATTGCAACAATAAAAGAAGTAAGGGTTGTTTCCCTTTCCTTGAACTGCTCTGCTGTTTGGTGAATTCTCTGAAGATTTAGTTTCCCACGCTCTGGAGGAGGCAGGTTATTGATAGCAGAGCTGTTTTCTGGTGCTTTATTTTTTATAAAGAGCTTTCCCTGATGAAGAATAATTATAAACATATACATATGCTTCCATTTAAAACTCTTTTTACCTTGTGGCCTCTGGATAATCTAGATTCACTGCTTCCACATGTTTCAGGTAGTGGGGTCTTTCGAAGATGTTGTGTTCTCTTTGCCTGCATGTGGTCTTTTGAACAGCATCCTTCAAAATGTTAAAGTTTTTCTGAAAAAAAATGTGTTAATCCACTAGTGTTTTAATCAAATTTTATTCAAGTAAGAGCTGGATAGGTAGTAAAAACTTATTTGATTGTTAATCACTGTGTTATTATTTACCTTATTAATAACAGACTAGGCAGGTCCTGATCGAGTTTGATGATTCTTTTTCAGTAGGTCGTGATTGAGTTTGATGATTCTTTTTCTGTAGGTCCTGATTGAGTTTGATGATTCTATTTCAGTAGGTCCTGATCGAGTTTGATGATTCTTTTTCAGTAGGTCCTGATCGAGTTTGATGATTCTTTTTCAGTAGGTCCTGATCGAGTTTGATGATTCTTTTTCTGTAGGTCCTGATTGAGTTTGATGATTCTTTTTCTGTAGGTCGTGGTCGAGTTTGATGATTCTTTTTCAGTAGGTCGTGATCAAGTTTGATTGTTCTATTTTTTATAGGTCCTGATTGAGTTTGATGAATCCGACTGGGAGCAGAGAGAGTGGATAAAAATTCACTCAGTGTTCCAAGTTTTTCTTGTTGAGCAGACTTTGGTTTGGAGTGAAAGATTAGACCCTGAAAGCAAGACAACTTCAGTTGAATGGCCAGCCCTGGTAAGTAAACTGTATATAAACAACCCCAAGTAAAAAAGGAAACTTCATCTGGTAGGTATATTTTGAATAAGGCCTCTCATTAATATATCATTAACTTCAAGTATTGTTTTCATTGGCATACATTTTCATTGTAATTAAATACAATTTACAATATGTCAAAATAATATTGAAGGTTCACAATTGCTGATTCTTAGGAGGTTACAGGGAAATCCCGAGACTCCACCTGACACTGTCCTTTAATTGCTGGGTACCTTCATGGTGCGCAGACCCCCTGCCACCTTGTGCAGGGCTAGAAATTATTTTCTTTCACATGTCACTCAGGCTATTGGCATAAATTTGCTTGTCTACTCAGTACTTTTACTATCCCACTGGGCCAGTAGAATTTAGAAAGACCAGGTCCAAAACCATTATCATAATAGTGATATTTTGTAATACTGAATAGTACAAATTACTTGACAAAACAAGAAATAATGGAACTGGGATGCACAACCCAGTCAGGTAAACTAGCCCTATCGTAAATGAATTTTGTTATGCATAAAAAAAACACTGACCCAAAGGGCACATTCCCTCTACAATGTACTAGCCCGTTTAAAAATTCACTGGCCCCAGACCAGCGGGCCATCAATTTTTTCGAGCCCTGCTAATGGTTCCCACTCTGATGCAAAATCTGGGATCCATGCCTGTTAACTAACTTGGTGACATGTCTTTGTAGGGGGATATGAACTCAGCCAGTGCCCTGAGGTGGGCTTTATTTATTTACGTTATTATCATGTGGTTTATGTACAGAATAACTAGAGTCATTATACTGATTTATGATGAGAAGCCAGCACCATATATTGACCGTGAATTTTTTCCATAGAATTTCCGATCCATGCCATTGCTTTCAATTGATTTCTTTTACCTGAGGGACACAATCAAAATGAATTGAAATGTTAATGAAATCTTTAAAATCATACATACATTTAATTGGATAACCAACACAATGTGTTAAAACTTTTCAAATAGAATATTGATAAAAGTCCAGGGAGTTTACCTTTAACTTAACCAGAGATTTAAATTATTGTAAACCTAGTCCATCAAAAGGTCTCCCCCTTAAAAGCCTGTTTGGAGATGTATTTAAAAATACCCTGAAATTCTGCCTGATTAAACATTTTCTATAGCTTTGTGCCAGCGAGTTTAAAATACACTGGCATTATTCTAGGTTTTCGATGAACAGCTATAATATTTACGGTAAACATCTTTCATAAGGAGAGGATATGGTAATGTAAATCTGGTCATACAAGCAGCAGAATTTAAACATGAATTGTCTTTTTTTTCCAACAAGGAATGTCATGGAGAGCTGCATTATGAATTTTAATAAATTATCACATCAGTATACTTTCATTATGTCCAAAATAATTTATGACGAGAGAAGATTACCTGACAAGAATCGTCAGATGTGAGGTGCATGTTAATGAACTGACAGTGACTTTGTGATATATATAAATAAACCCGTTCACATGCAGACATAATGTGTTGCTTAGGAACCCGGAAAAAAAATCAATACTTAATTACAGCACACTGTAGGGATAGGAGGGCACTGGGGGGAGACTAAATAACTGTAGAATTGTGAATGTATTGTCTTCATTGACCTTGAAACGTGACCAGTGACACTGTGTGTCTGTGTGTTTACTCAATAGTACTAAGACATGACTAAGTGTATGCGTATTTAGTTCAGTACATGTACTAAGACATGACCAAGGTGTATGTGTATTTAGTACTATCTCCTGCATTATAGCGACTTTATTTTCTCCCAGACTGTCTCTAGTTTGATAAATTGTGTACTATTGTGAAGAATGAGGTTATGTACAAAATAAATCGGTCATGCCCTTTTTAAAGCAATGCTTCCAGATTGCGAGAAAGTTCAAAGTCATTATATCTAAAACCAACCATTTTCATGAAAAACTGATTTGCTTGGTACTAATAATTAAATCACTGCCATTGTAAAGGTCATCTCTGATTCTTTTTTTATAGAATTTCCGATCCATTGTTGATAAAGTAGGACTTAGCAGCTGTAGGAAGCGACCAATCGAGTTTTTTGATGATCAACTTTTGGCGTTTGTCGAGGATAAGAACCTTCACTGTTTCCAGGTATGTTATAATGTAACGCAGTCTTAAGGTAAACTTCCAATCTCATATACAGCCCAGTAATATCAGGAATTATCCACACTTCTGTCCTCTCTTTGGATATTGGTATTATCTAAAGAATAGTATCTCTAAGTATTGTCAAGAGGATAGTATCAAGACTAAATTCCTCTTGGATATTAATTTTAGTTGAAGAATAGTACCTGTAATTGATGTTGTGTAGGGGATAGTATCAAAGTATCCTCTCTCTGGATATTAATTTTGTCTGAAGGATAATGCCTCTAGTTAATATTGTGTAAAGGATAGTATTAAGGCAATCCTCTCTCTGGATATTTTGTCTGAAGGATAATGCCTCTAATTGATATTGTGTAGAGGATAGTATAAAGATATCCTCTCTCTAAAGGATAATGCCTCTAATTGGTATTATGTAAAGGATAGCATCAAGGCAATCCTCTCTGTGGATATTAATTTTGTCTTAAGGTGATATTCTGTAAAGGATAGCATCAAGGCAATCCTCTCTCTGGATATTAATTTTATCTGAAGAATAATACTGTACCTCTAATTGTTATTTTGTAAAGGATAGCATCAAGGCAATCATTTCTCTGGATATTAATTTTGTCTGAAGGATAATACCTCTGGTATTCTGTAAAGGATGGTATCAAGACTATTCTCTCTCTGGTATTGCCTTAATGGTAGCATTTCTAATTATATTGTTTAGAGGATAGTACCAAGTCTATCTGCTCTCTGGATATTAATATTGTTTAGACCATATCATGTCCAACCTCTCTAGATATATTGGTGATGTTTAGAAGTGAAGTTATTCCACCCGTATGTAAGTAATAATGTTGAGATTCATCATATTCTGGTGTGGAGTAAATTAAAAATGGGATAAAGTGTGCATGTATAATAAAGTGTGTGAGCTAGATGCCATCAGACAGTGTGATCAGGGGTTAGATAGAGAAGTCACATGATGGTAGACAATTGACCTGTTTATTTACAGCTAAGCACTTGGGGGAAGGTACATTCCTCTCCAATGTATCTGTTATAGAGAGTTTATGATCGCGCATTCTAAATAAAAACCTTTTAATATTAAAACAACCATTGTACAAACACCAAACAGTGCGAAAAATGGGGACATTGTGATAACGGCCAACTCGGAGAACATTGCTATCTGGATGTGTAAACAAACTTACAATTCAGACGTTACAGCCTGCTATTTACTGTTCAGACCGGGGAGTTTTATATTTAGTTTGTGAATCAAGGTCAAAGAAAATCTACTGTAAGCCCCTCTCTTCTGTCATCAGAACCTGATGTCAGAATGGTATATATAGTAATCTTGATGTCCACATTAAAGGGGGGGTGGGGGGGGCTCACCATTATCCTACAGAACTGATGGTCATTTCTCTATTAATCCTAAGACTTATTGGAAAATCATGTCAGTCTTTATGTTACAAATATGGTTTATAATGATCAATTTTTGGAGAAAAAACTAATTTGTATGATATGCCACTTTTAAAAGCTTCCTATTGTCTGCTCTAAGCAGGCGATGAGGGCCTTATACTTAACACTGAGGTAATTCTAGGGGTTATTGTTCAAATAAGATTAGAAATAAGTTCATATTAGATTTTCCTCTCAGGACCCCTATTAACGCTTGAGTAAGCCAGTTTAACTCGGGTTTGGGAAGTGGAATATATATGTCCTATCCATTCTGTTGTATTATGTCAAGGAAGTCAGGTATAACAGAACTCGGTGTCTGGTTTCTGAACACAGTGTGATTATCAGGCAAGCCTTTTGTTCAGCATTATGTCCATGTCTTGTCAACTTAATAAACCCTATGCCTTTTTGGACAGCAATCAAGGTTGAAAAGCTAAGGGTTCATAAGCCCTTATTTTTCTGATTAAAGCCCTACAGGCAAACATAAATGTTTGGGCTTTTAGGAAAAAAAGATTGCCAGAGATAAGAATGTTTAATGGAGGGATTATAGGTGGCCACAGTTCGCACGATGAGTTTTAAACATGTTTCCTGCACACCTGATGTATGTAAATGTTTCTCAAGAAAGTTTAATCAGCCCTGAAGGTAAACAGACTTCAGTCCTCTGGTAAAAGGCTGGGTTGTGGCATTAAAGGATTGAATGTTATGTAACCTGATACCAGAGACACTAACCTAGTAACAATTCACAGAAAACTCACTGCAGAAAGGACTTAATCAATACTGTGTGCGAATGGTTTGACAGAGGAACTGTCATGTCGCAGTCATTATTTATCCAGGTCACATCTCAGGAAAAGCTGCATATAGCACTGATCAAATCAAGGGGCCCCTCAGAGGGTATGACAACATCAGAAAAAATATACACACACACACACACACACACACACACACAAAACACAAACACAATTGCTCAAAATAAAACATTATGTGTTTGATTTGGTTCACACATAAGGAAATATGAGGGATCTGAGGTCATCTGAAGGACAGAGATGATTCAGACGATTGTCAGCTCATTAAGAGACTCATTTACATCCTTGATAGAATTATGTAATATAAAGGAACTTCACACTGTGACATGTCTTAATTTCCTGTAGATCTATTGTGAGAATCTAAATCTTTATGATTTCTGCAAGACACTGTAACTGGTAATTGCTTTGAGTACAAAGAATGACACAGTCTTTATTGTGTTCACTGGCATAAAATATAGCCATACATGCAAACACGTGTATTTTACAAGTTCAGTATTGATCATTTCACAATCCTCTTTTAATTATCAATAAAATTTCACTACTCTTCATCAAGGGAACCATTTGTTCTCCTTAATTTGAGTTCTCTAATGTGATATTCTATTAACTTTGTAGGAGACAGAGCTACTGAGTAATCCAGTGTTTGAAGCCTACCCAAGTCTCAATCAAGCCGTTAAAAACTGGCTGGACTACCAGGATGGTCAGAGGATTTTGTTGACGACCCCCACCGTACTTGTTGGGTACCGCCTGGAGGTGTATAGAGCTGAGGGGACCACCCAGTGGTACACAGCTGTGATTCAGTCCTACAACCACACCACTAAGGTACAGAAAATTTGACAATAAACACATATCCACAGACCAAACAAGGTGCACACACATCCAAAATCATATTATGACAGATACTGAAAATCAGGTACAACCACACATCCAGTAACAGCCAAAATTAGCAGTACATATGGTTTCATTTAATACCAATATCAGTATTTTATCAGCTTTCACACATTATAAATGCATTTGTGCTATTCAACTAAACTAAATGGTTTTGAATTAAAAATAAATAACCACAACATTGAATTTTGATGACATGTGTTGTAATGTTATGCTAATTTATTGAAAAAAGGCCAACTAGGGCTTGCTTTGTGAGTTGCCCAACTTCTTAATTAATAATTGACAGGTACAAATTTCAATTTAAATGTAAACCTTTGTCAGGGAAAAGAGGTTGGAGTTTAAGTCAAATTGTGCATAATTTTTTTTAAATTAAATTTTTCCATGAAACACAGTTACAGCAAATACACCTATAATGAATTCACACTTGAAGTGATTTTCATTCCCTGTGGTTGTCAAACAGATTGTTAACTTAAAGGCTATGACAAATTTCGTTTATGATATGAATCAAAATTTTTAGCACTTTGCTATAAGCGTGTTTTACTGTACTTCCAATTTTCTGGTATGTTTTTTTGCTTTCTTATTAAAATTTAAAATTGAAACAAGTTACAGTCCTCATCTTTGTTGCATACTGAAACCACAATCTTTTAGCTTCCATCAAATGTATTGATAGATTGAGATATTATTTTAAAAATATTACTATGATAGGCATAGTATCATCCTTAACTGTATCCAACCCTAACTGGGAATGAATCACTAGACAGACAGTATAACCATCACTTATTGTATTGTTATAGCCATTGTATTGTTTATAGCCTTGCTGCATAACTTCTGATAAATAATGCACATTATACAAGAGAATATGTGAGTGTAATTATCCCTTGTCCATTAACAGAAGTGATTGTCTTTGATAATGGTGTACTGTGTGATACAGCCCTATGGAGGCAATCAATACATCCTGGTACCAGAGATGTGGTCCATTAAAATCTCAGCTTGAATTGTTCCTCCTGATAGTTTCCTCAGGAGCCTGTAGATTACTAAAGTTCCCCTGGGTGCTGAGAAATCAGCAGCCCACATTGATAGTTATAGCCCCATAGCTGTGTTACTAAAAAATAATGGTGTGTAATGGAGTTTGGAGAACAGAAAATATTTCACACAAACCACACATTCCAAAACACTAACAAAAACACTAAACCAGGAACCACAAGCAAAAAGATCACACTGTCATGTATCAGTAACAAAAAACACACTAAACATGACCCGCAATGACAGGGACCAAACTGTCATGTATCAGTAACAAAAAACACACTAAACATGACCCGCAATGACAGGGACCATACTGTCATGTATCAGTAATAAAAAAAACACACTAAACATGACCCGCAATGACAGGGACCATACTGTCATGTATCGGTAACAAAAAACGCACTAAACATGACCCGCAATGACAGGGACCAAATTGTCATGTTTCAGTAGCAAAAAACACACTAAACATGACCCGCAATGACAGGGACCATACTGTCATGTATCAGTAATAAAAAAACACACTAAACATGACCCGCAATGACAGGGACCACACTGTCATGTATCAGTAACAAATACACTAGAATATGACCCACAATCACAGGGACCACAATGTCATATATCATAACTAATACACATTAGAATATGACCTGCAATGAAAGGGACCACACTGTCATCTATCTAAACAAAAACACACTAAAACATGACCCACAATGACAGGGACCAAACTGTCATCTATCATAACAAAAACTAGAATATGACCCACAGTGACAGGGACTATACTGCCATCATATCAGTCACCAAACACACTAAAGAATGGCCCACAATGACAGAGACCACACTGCCATCATATCAGTCACCAAACACACTAAAGAATGGCCCACAATGACAGAGACCACACTCTTTTTATTCCTAACAAAAACAACAACCGCCATCTCAGAAGTCCACTCTGATATTAAATAACAGAGACAACACTGTCAGATACATTAATAACAGGAAGTCGATTTTTAATTTCCACTTGATCTTATAATAATCGTCAGTGATTTATACAAACAATGAAAGCTTGTATAGTGTACCTAAGTCAAGCAGGGAGAGTTGTTTCTATGAATAGATGCATCACACATGTAACAAACCCTTCAGCCACTAGAAAAGATCACTTGATTTAGGATTATTTAGTTTATCAGGGTGTGCTTACAAAACACCTGCTGTGTACAAACACATACTCTATAGATGGAACAGAGCATTGTTTATATGTAAGATTCATTAACTTATATTTGTGTGTGTGTGTGTGTGTCTTTGTTTAATTTTGTATATGTACAAACATTTTCTTGGATTTTCTTGTTCTGTTTGGGCTAGAATTTTTATTCCTTGGAATCCACCTGTTAAGATGTTTCCATGGTAACTTAATGTCTAGGCAGCTAAGGTGGTGTTTTTCCTTCTCATAATAAGAGAAAATTCTTTCAAACATTAGGATTTAATAAACACATACCAGGGTTCTAAGTTTATGTGCATCATTATCACAACTTTAGTTCTTTGACCTCATTAACAATTGATAATGGAGTTCTGCGCATTTTCTAAAGCAAGGCTTGTGTAACGTTAATTTGTGAAGCTTCATTGAAATCCTGTACTTTAATGTACATAATAGAAAACTAATAATGTATATAATGTGGTCTGATGGCTGAATCCTTCATTACTGAGGCCTGCTAGATGGGGATTGACTTTTAATGAGGACAGACTTTTATTACAACATAAATCTGACTGCAGGCTTTTAATGAGTGGTCTGGTGTATTCTGTTGTTAGTGGGCTGATGAGTCCATGGTCACAGAGAAAGCCAGCCATTCCAGCATTGATCCACTCAGCAATAAAATTAAAAAATTGTCAGCAATCTGAACGCTGTTGATCTAGACAGCTCGGCAGAGTTGGTGCTTCCTCGGTTAATTGCCTGATGAATGTACTTTGTTAGCTGTGGCCCTATTGATTTCTGTATCATTGTTTACTTATCTATTGCATTCCCACTCAGCACAGCAAAAATATTTGTTTTCTTGGAAGCCTGACAAAAAAGTAATGATAGCAGCGTAGGTTTACAATGTGAAGGTCACACACAGCCAGATAATGTTATGCAGGGGTCACGAGAGAGAAACTATAAATGTCTACTCACCACTTACACATCTGCTGTCTTTAGAGTTAGTATTTCCCTAAAGGTAATAAGGTTTCCAAGGATGTGGTAAAGATAAATTTCCAAGACTTGGGTGGCTTTTCATTCACTAGTTTAGGCTCAGTAATTTTGTAGCTGGCCATGAGGGGCAAACTTTGATCACAAGATCATAGTCTTCCTCACAGGCACCAAACTCGCTTGAATTTTTGACCCCCTAGTATATACTAGGGGGTCAAAAATTCAAGCGAGTTTGGTGCCTGTGGTCTTCCTATATGGATGATACCATTTATTCATAGATGAATTTTTAAATCTCATCAATTTATTTTACAATACATACAACACATGTATTAACCATGGATTTTGCCAAGGCATAATTTCTTCTCTTATCAAACATTGGGAGAATTCTTCACTGTGTTTAAATGGTAGCTGTGTATGAAGTCTGATGATATGATGGGAGTAAATAGGAATGATTTCTCTTGGTGGGATGTATAATGCAGGGGTCAGGAGAGGGAAACGTCACATGACCAGTGTCTGTGGCGTAGCTGTGTGGAGTTTATCAACTGCCAGTGAAAGAGATTAGGCCAGGTAAAATTAAACTTTAGATTCTCATCCCCGCCCGCCCCTCTCAAAATGCCCCGCCCTGTTGTTTTTTATTTTGGTTTTTGTGTTTCAAAAGTATTCACATGTATTTTTACTCAGCAAGAATCACAGTCAAAATTTAAGAGTTATCTCCCGTCTGTATTAAAAGTCGCGTGGTGCTATTTATAGCACAAAAGCCATGTGTAGAATGGAGAAAAATCGGCAATAAAAGCAGTTTACATATATAGGGAAAAGATAATTTGCCAGGATAGAGATGGCAGAAAAGCAAAATTAACATAAATACATCTAGATACCATCACTGGCATGAGCAAGTTTTAAAAGAGATTTTAACCAACTAAAAACAGACGAAGAAAATGACATATCTGGTCAAGGTATAACTTAATAATAATCGCCAGTTGTATGTGATTTTGTATTTAAAAAAAAAAAAGATCGTTGGCAGACTTTAGAGGATAATAATGCTAAGGAAATGGTAAATCTTAAAACTGTTGAGCATAGGATTTTCAGTAGAATATTTTACAGTTTTAGACGGCCGATCCTGTTTTGGAAAAATGACATATTTTAATGTTGAACGTGTCAAGTCTCAAGAATGAAAGTATGAGGACAGTGGAAATCTGTGATATTTCACACAAAACAAAAGGAGTTGTTGGTAAAACTAAAAGGTATTTAGAGAAAGGCCGATGAGAAGTAGTGACTACTACATACAGCTTATGCAATTTATTGGGATCCGCACCCAATTTTGTGTGGGGTGTGCTGTATTTGTGTACTTGAAAATTCATTAATAAAAACTATAAATATTTAATATTCTATAACAAGAATCTTTGATAGATATTTTTAAGAAATAAGGTATCATTTTTTAAACATCTATCGGGATATAAATACGGGTTGGTCACGAGATCAAATTCCATAAAGCCCGAAGGGCTTTATGGTAAATTTGATCTCGTACCAACCCGTATTTATATCCGATAGATGTTTAAAAATGATACATTATTACTTATATTTACATTTATGACTCATTCATATTTTATATTTTCCTGATTATAATCTTTAACGCGTGAAATGTTTTATTTTTCAAACTCAACGGCACGCATTTGATCCATTGTTTGCGCGTCGACCCTTTATGACGTCAATGAGAAACGTTTATGACGCGAGGAACCTGTGTTTATACGGATATAGATACGCGTTGCTTTCAATAGTGTTATATAAGGGAAAACATTTGCAAATGTAAATATAAAAGAATAAACAATGAAATATATTCATATTGGCATTAACATAATGTGAAAATTTTGTGTACTAAGAAGAGCGTTATGTAGATATTTTCAATAATAAAAAATAAAAAATAAAATCCACCCACCCGCCCCAATTTTTTAGCAAATTAGGATGAGAATCTAAATTTTAAATTTATGTGGCCTTAACACCTAAACTAAAATACCAGGAAGGTTAAGCTTGGGTCTGAACTAGCAGTAAAAAATCTGTACAGATCATAGGTCTATTTACATCTATCACAGAGGATTGTTGTCTATAGATGATAAATCTAATGCATAGCTTGTATAAGATAAACAGATGTATAGAGCACATTCAGAGAAACAGATTGTAGATCCCTAAATCAAGGCCTAGGAGGATCAAACCAATGAAAATATGACATAATTTCATAAATTATTGTTGCCTTAAAAAAGCAAGCTCATAATTAAGAAAATGTTATTCCTTCAGATATACAACAACAAAAAATGGTTTTATATACCATATATACTCCCCTACATAAGTCAGATTTTTGGGAGTCAAATTTTGGTCCAAAACTCTGTGTCCAACTTGTCCAAGAAAATGTGGTATATTTCTGGAAGAGGAAATATAATTATTTTGGTTAATCATTAATAAAGGTCGGAACTTGTCTAATGCAGGAAAGGAGGGTCAAAGGTTTCCATGTTCATAAAACACAAATGTTTCCAGATTTGAATGATTTTATATTTAAATTGTAAATAAATTGTTTGTTTATTGAATTCTATCTGACACTTGTATATTGATAAATATATTTTTACTGACGGTACCATTCTGAAGGAGTATATATGTTTGTTTAGAATTTTCTGATATTTTTTACAGAGTCTGTCTTTAACTGATGATACAGTACTAGAGGAGCATAATGAAGACCCAGCCCTTATTCAGATGCGGCTGATTGATGATGGGGGTAAGTGTCCTTCAGATCCCCCACCCCCCACCCCACCCCAGTGTAATAGATGCTGAAGCTCAGGCTGTAGAATAATATCAGGCTAATCAGGGAGATTAACAATAAGCATGATAAAATTCTCACCCCATAAAAATCCATATCCAAGCTGCAAAAGTCAGCTGACATCTTTAGTGTCAATTAAAAAAAATTGTTGGAAAAACTATTTTGCAAAGAAATTTAATCTTTCAAACTCAACATCACTGAATATTCCTTTAAGACTTGTCAGTGATGATAAGATACCAGCTATAGACAGAATTTTGTCACTGATGGTGAGCTTCATATTATTCCACTACAAGTCTGCTCAAGCTTTGTTATTGAGGTCAGATAAACAAGCTTCCATTGTCTGCACTGTAAAACAAGCTTCAACAATATGCTCAGACAAATGAACTGGAAAAGTGTCCAGATAGCTTAAATATTCAGCTCCATCAAAACACAAAATATTCAGCTCCATCAAAAAAATCTGTTCAAACTAACAAGCTTCAACTGTCTGCCAAACAGACAAGATTCAGTAGTCTGCGCATACGGAAAAGTTTTAAACCTTGTCCCGATGAAACAAGCTTCCAAACTCTGTCTAGACAAACAAACTTTAACAGTCTGACTAGACAAACAAAGCTTCAGTAGTCTGACTAAACATACAGGCTTCAATAGTCTGACTAGAAAACAAGCTGCAGTAGTCTGACTAGACAAACAAGTTTCAATAGTCTGACTAGACAAACAAGCATCAATAGTCTGACTAGACAAACAAGCTTCAATAATCTGACTAGTCAAACAAGCTTCAATAGTCTGACTAGACAAACAAGCTTCAATAGTCTGACTAGTCAAACAAGCTTCAACAGTCTGACTAGACAAACAAAGCTTCAGTAGTCTTGACTAGACAAATAAGCTTCAGTAGTCTGACTAGACAAACAAGTTTCAATAGTCTGACTAGACAAACAAGTTTCAATAGTCTGACTAGACAAACAAGTTTCAATAGTCTGACTAGACAAACAAGCTTCAGTAGTCTGACTAGACAAACAAGCTTCAGTAGTCTGACTAGACAAACAAGCTTCAATAGTCTGACTAGACAAACAAACTTCAACAGTCTGCCCAGACAAACAAGCTGTAATAGTCTTCCCATACAAAACAAGCTTCAGTAGGCAGTCTAGATAAACAAGCTTCAATGGGTTGTCCAGATAAACAGGCTTCAATAGTCTGACTAGACAAACAAGCTTAAATAGGCTGTCTAGACAAACAAGCTTCTAATCTAAAAGTCTGTCCATACAGACATGCTTCAAAGGTCTGCCAAGATTAACAAGTTTCCATTTGTCTACATAGAAGAACAAGCTTCAATAGCTGTCCATTTGTCTACATAGAAGAACAAGCTTCAATAGCTGTCTAGACAAACAAGCTTCCAAAAGTCTGCCCATACAAACAAAGTTCATTTCCATGAAACAAGCTCGAAAAGTTGGTAAACAAGCAGACTCTCTTTCATCATAAACAAAAGCTACAAAAGTCTGCCCAGGCAAATAAGATTCAAAAGTCTGCCCAGACAAACTAGCTTTAACTTTCAAGACACAATCAGCTTCAAAATATCTGCTCTTAAAGCAAGCTTTAATTTTTAGCTTTTATTTACAAGCTTTAAAAATGTGTTCATTCAAACTATTCTCCAAAATTTTCCTTTCATGAAAGAGCTTCAGAAATCTGTCCACGTGATCAATCTTCAAACTTTTGCTGATGGGGAACCAGCTTTACAAACAGGTTGTGAAAGTCTTTCAATATCAAAATAAGCAAGAAATGGTATGTAATTAAAAGTAATTGATAGGTATTTTGAACAAATTATTTTTTTCAGTGGCAAAACAATAGGAATGCCTTAAGGAACAATGCTAGTAAGTTGACTGAAATATCAAAATTTACAGACCCCACATATAAGATTTTGTTGCACTACACGCCATCTATATCTACTGTCTAGCCTGTAAACAAATTGTAATGCATTCAAGTAAAGATTGTTCAGCAGTATTAGGTGTGTGAGTGCCAGGTGATCCTAACTGTCCACAGGCATAGGTCACTGTAAAAGGATGTCTTAATGGTACATTGAAGCAGAACATGAAAACCGACAGTAAGACATTGTATGATGGTTTTGAAGTGTGTTCCTGTACCACGTATTGATGCTGACTGTGGATTGATTTTGGTTCTCTGAAATGAATCATGTCATTAATTCAAAGAGAGGTATTGATTGTGGGTTGCCATAGGCTTGAGATAATTTACTCCAATGTCAAAGGATCCAATAGAGCTTCCTGTTTCCTGACCTGAATTAAGTTATTGACAAGAGAAAATCCAGGCATTATATAATCTGCATTGTTCAACTGTCACTATCTTTGTGTGGGTGTTATTAAAGTTTACAGAAAACTTGGGGTACTGGATATAAAAGATGAGTTTGGATAGAAACTGATAAGATGAGACCGAGATTGTGTCTGCTTTCGACTGCTAGGGATTAGCATGCACATTCTCACTTGTAGAGAGAAAAAGCATAACAACATTCCTGGCTGTTTTCAGTGGCAGCTTTCCAGAATGTGCCAGCGAGAGTGATTTGCACTAACAGTACTCGGACAGCTTGCCAGAGCTCGGGAACAAAGAAACGTGTACCAGCCAAACATAGATTATTTTCTGAACACCTGTCTGTCTTATTGGGGTTCTATATCTTTGCGGTCTCTGTACTGTTGGATCAGGGTTTTCTACTGTATGGGGATAGATTCAGTAGTGCATATATTCCTTGTCAGACAAGCCCAGTGTATGTCAATAAACAAATTCCAGTTTTTATCTTCTCACAATATCCTCCTGTACTGTAAACCCTTCTCTTTATTTGATCAATCAACCAAACAGGGTCAAAAAATAGAAACCAGAGAGGACCAAAGACTGGTGATCTGTCACTTACACAGATGACATCAACTTGAGATATATGATACCAAGCTTTTCAACTGTGTGATTATATTTTGTCTGCTCATTGTTATAACATTCTTATTTAACTTTAATCTCTCCTTCATGAATTGTTTGCGTTTTCAAACGTTTTTAGATTCAGAGATCACATAAGTACAGAATTAATACCTGTGAGAGGGAAATGTGGGATAGGTGTTGAACAAACAAGAGGACATTAGCAGATTTTCTGTTGCATAATATCACTGACAAATCAATTCCATTGTAGAGAGTTCTGAATACAGATTCCCTGTCCAGGGTCTTGTTTAGTAGATATACATTTTTTCCCTGTCCAGGGTCTTGTTTAGTAGATTTACATTTTTTTCCCTGTCCAGGGTCTTGTTTTGTAGATTTACATTTTTTTCCCTGTCTAGGGTCTTGTTTAGTAGATATACATTTTTTCCCTGTCAGGGTCTTGTTTAGTAGATATACATTTTTTCCCTGTCAGGGTCTTGTTTAGTAGATATACATTTTTTCCCTGTCTAGGGTCTTGTTTAGTAGATATACATTTTTTCCCTGTCAGGGTCTTGTTAAGTAAATTAACTTTTTTCCCCTATCACTTAGATTGAGGACTTGATGACTGACTTCTAGATTCTGTCAGAGGACACAAGTTCTCTATCAACTGTTCCCTGCCTTTGGTTTTTTTTTCCTTCAGATATAGAATGTTCATTGTGATTATAAAGTTTTTCATGCTGTTTGAGTGGTGTTCATTTGGGGGGGAGGGGGGTATCAGGTTTACAATTTGATTATTTCATTTGTAATGTCATTTTCAATTCATATGTTTGCCTTAGAAATATGTACATAAAGTTGTTAGTTTTATATTGTATTAGAATGTGCATTACATTAGCTATAATTTTTTTTTCTGTAATTATTGAGCCAAATAATAATGAGATGTCTAGCTGGCCAACTGATAAATTGTACGATTACAAAGAGTATAAAATGGTAAAAATTTGGCCACTGGATGGAGCAAAGATGGTCATGTATTGAAATATATTACAATTTCAAAATCTTTATTCATGGATATGTAGTACTTGGACAAATTGATTTTCATGATTTTGCACTTTCCCCCTTGATACTCAGCTGACCATTAAGACCCATGGGCCTCTTATTATTGTATCCATGACCTATTTGATAAAAATGTGATTAAAAAATAGTGCTGGGATACTCTTCTTTAAGAAGAGTATCCCAGCATTATTTTTCTGTGGACACCCACAATCTATAGGCCTGGCAGACACTGAGAACTTTAATGTCCATACTGACCACAAGGTCAGAATGTCCCTACTGACCACATGGTTAGTGTTACAGTGTTTGAGGATTGCCAGTGATGTTATCTTCAGATTGTTTGTGTATTTGACCTTTGATCTCTTTCCTGATCTCTCTAGCCATTAACATCCACACACAACTAGTAGTCCATAGTGTTATTGAATCAGTGTATACTTTTTATGGGGCTCTGATTTTTTTTATAAGAATGAAAATTATTAAAGGCTTCCTTTATCAGGAACATTGCTTTAAGCATTTCTGAAAAAAAATAATAGGATGCATTGTGTAGATATCTATCCTGATGGAGGCTGTTCTGTATAACATTGTTCTGTAAGATGGGTTCTTTGTGAGATGGCAGCCATTCTGTTGTTCTGCCACATAAATACCCTGCCATGGTAGACAAAACATTGCCATACACTTTGTTCAAGTTCAACAAAGGACACCATTTCTTTTATTTGCAGTGGAATATAACCCAATTTAATTACATTGCTTCTGATCTCAAGTGACTGCTATATCGAAAAACGATCTTGTCTCAAAGCCTTGGAGAAATCCAGTGGACGGAAATTCATCTGGAAATTCATCGAGCACAGTGTGCGATATTGATTCCACTAAACAAAGCCATGGATCGTGATCAGGGACTGAATGACTGTGTATCTACATTACAAGTTTTGATAGAACTCTAAAAGCAGGTTTATAATGGAGCCAAGAATGACACAAGGAAAAAATCGATAAGAATCGGGACATTTAATAAAAGATAAACAAACAAGGGTAACTGTAAATCCCTGTGGAGAGGAAATCAACAAGATTAGACAAATCTGTACACTGTAAGTCAAGTGTACAAAACTGTACACTGTAAGTCAAGTGTACACCTGGTTTGGTTGTTCATAGGCGTCGGAACCCCAGGGGGGGGGGGGGGCATGGCTGGGGGGGCTTAGCCCCCCCACTTTTTTTTTCAAAGGTATAATATAGGCATTGGGAATTGGGGCTTACCTTTTTCCGTTGGTTTAGCCCCCCCCACTTTCAATTAGCCACCCCACTTTCATTTTGCTTCCGACATCTATGTTGTTAATTTTTTATTCCTATCATTAATATGTCTGCCATGTTGCTTTGATTTGTTAAATGTCAGTATAAATGGGAAGTGAAGTGCAAATGAAAACTTTACAGCGGCTCCTATCATTCATTTCTTGTCAATCGATACATAGAACTAAGTCAAGTAAATAAATGTCTCATGCACGAATTATGAGTTGATATTTCAAAAAAGCTCTTAAGAAAATGGGATTTTGACAACACAATTTATGGCTATTAGTGTTGAATTGTGTCAGGACCACACCTTCATCTGAAATGTTTTTCCTCATCTGCATTTTTTCAAAAATTCTTTTAAAAGTTAATGAGAAATAAATATGATATACACAAAGTCACTTATCATGAAGAGGTCATTAGTTTAAATCCAGGCATGTTCTGGAAAATTAGGCCTGAGGTAGCCATCTTGTTTTTCTTTGTGTGGTGAAGTGACCTTCACCTTTGGCTGAGCCCTCTAGGCAGCCATCAAATTATCATCTGTCCATAGCAAACAGCCATTACTGTACTGAGGGGCGGGATATACTGAGCATGTGCAATCACAGTTAACAGCAGATAACAACGTGTGAAGCAGACTATCATTTCACTGATTATTCCTTGTGTTTTCTGCTATTGATTCAACAGGTCTAGAGATTTTACAGTGTATGTATTTATTTGTTAGCAGATTCCTTTTGAGATTTTATTTTTCTGTGTGGGCCCAAGCCAAGATATTTCCTTTAACAGTGAGAGCGGTGACCTGGTTTAGTGCTTGTCTGATTTGTACAATTGTGGAAGAATTTAAAAATCCTGAATTCAGACAATTACACAGTGACCGCTGTAGCGAGACTTTTAAGCAAGGACAAAAGAGAGATCAATGTGAATTGTATCACACTCCCCCTGACAGCTCTTAGGTCCTGTTAAATGGAATCTACTGTTCTGATAATCAAATCGCATTGTTTAATGAATGGGGTTACCGCACACCACTCAGCTATTTTCATCCGGTTTTGAAAGCTTGTTTGTATGAGTCATATTGATTACAGCCAGAGCCAGTTCTCGAGTGCGCCTTTGATAGCATACTTCCCTTGTCAGTGCAGGTCGAGACAGTTTTCTCTGTCTGCCAGCATTTTCTAAGCTATTTTATGTCTTTGATTCTAACATTGGATTTTGTTTATTTCAGTGGTGGATTCAATTTTGCGAGGTGTAGAAGTTGGAATTGGTCCTAGAAGGACTAGACAAACAAACAAGGAACAGCAAGGCAATACAGTAAGTTATTTATCTCTCTGTTAGAATGTAAGCCAGTAAGTTATTTATGCTAATAGAGTGTAGCAGTTCTCTTAGTTACACAGAACAAAGAAATAGACTCTGTTAAACTACCAGTGTTAAACTGTGAAGGCCAACATGTGTCCAGCCTGATGAAAGAGGTAGCATAACAGCTGCAATGGAATTCTGTTAATTAGATTTTGGAAATTGGATAATTAACTGCATCCTTTATCACCCACACTTGTGTACAATCCCAGCAAATCCATCTGTGATATAAGCAGAGAGGCTCTAAAAGGGAAGTTTGTAAACATGTTGAAAGTGGTCAGTAATCAAGGGCATTAGGTCCATCCCAGGAAGTGATTATGATGTAATCACATGTCGTTTTTAATGACTTATTGTTAAGTTTGACACAGAGCTCATTGAATTCATCTAAACTGTTCATCCAAAAATTGACCCCCCCCCCCCTTCTAAAAAAAAACAAAAAAAAACAGAGATATTTATAAACATATAAAAATATCAAAATTTAAGGATGTGTTCCTTTACAGTAAGAAATTTAGCTTCCTGTCTGACAGATTTTTTACACTTTGAATTTCCTGGATGGTTACCCCCTGTCAGTCCCCTCCAAGGTCAGGCCGTGAAAACCATTAACCTACTTCAGGGTTTTCTACAGGGATGGTTTCACAAAAGCTGGCCAGATTTTAATGTGTGGCTGGTTTGTCATGCTGACTTATAGTGAAGTCCCTAGAGGCATGTAAAAATAATTAATCATCTCTCAAAGCTCTAATAAAGAAACAAACACACCAATGGAAGAATCTACCTGGTCACATTCTGTATTGTAAAATTTTAAATGCTTAAGATTTAGTGTACTAGATAAAGTTATGAAATGATACATCTGCCCTAGTCTATATTTAGACACTGCTCCAAGAGCTAACTAATCTTACGGTATTGTAAAAATGCTTGAAAGATTTTAAACTTCTCTCAAACTCATTACAATGCGACATTAAAAAAATCAGATATGCTCCCTCGGTGCATATGAAAAGGAGATGAGTCATACCATGATGTGTGCCCTCGTAGTTAATATGCGGAAAATATGTTCATCTGATACGGCATACTTTGTCATTAAAATTTAACGATATTTTGTTTACATTTAGGTGAAAGGCTTACAGTTTAACAGTGGCTTTATTTTAGATAGTAGAATATAATACACACACACACATAAGCAATTAAGCTTAGGTCAGTGTAAGCTTCAGACTGAATATTAAAGTAAGAATTCCAATGCCACAGATTTAAATGCTGCATGTAATATTCATATTTGTAAGCGCTGGCTGTGGTTTATTTTTTGTGTGTGTGAATGACAACAAAAGACTCACAGTGACACATTGATTAAATAGGAACTGTGGGCCTGTTTCTAGCCAGCCGTGTAATAATACATCATGGCTTTTATTTGTGGTATTAAGTGTGCTCAAGTTTTGCTCTGTTTGTTGGACCTATGTTAGTCCTATCTGATGTTTCAGTACCTATATTGATATTTGACTTTTCACAGCGAGGTAAGTGATGTTAATTGTGAAGTGTAATGTCTAACTTAAGGCAGTATGTAGTTAATCAAACAACTGTTACATGCTAAGGGGCTTTTTGTTCTGAGAGCCAGTTCATGCTCCTAGGCTGTTCTTGTTTACATAGCCTGGGAACATGCTCTGAAAATAATTCTTTTTCTCCCTTTAAATTCCCAATTGACTGATATGTTTTTTTATATCAGGGGTTTGCTGTGTTCTTTTTATTTAGGTTTAATTTTTATCTCTGCCGTATTCTCGTTGTTTATTTCCTCTCTGCCCTAGTCCATAGATTGCAGTCCAGTATTTGTTTGTGGAAGCCCCAGCAAGTATTCTGGTGACATGGCACAGCCTTATCGCTCGCCGTGTAACCAGATTTAACACGCAGGGCTGGCCCTGTATATTGTGACAGTGATGGTGGTGTTATTCGGGTCACGCTTCATTGTCCCATGTCTTTTGCCTATAGGGAATTTTTGTATAACATGACCAAATGGCCAATTATGACAAGTATTGTCGCTGATATAAAACTTGTAGTATGTAATTTGTGTGTTGTTAGGGGGGTTGTGTTAATGTGTTTTTTATTTGGTTTGAATTGTCACTACCTTTTAACATGACTGCAGTTGGCTGGTGTCAATCATGAATTTAAGCCAGACAGGTACAAGGAAATGTATTTTTTAATAAAGTAGGGGAAAAAAAAATAGTGGTAATAACACAATATATTTATTTTCAACATGTATTATTTTAAATTGTGTTAATTCTTTTGTTGGGTGTATTGATTTTTTTTTTTTCAGTAACTCTCCTCTTTATAAGCTATTTAGTCTCTCCCAAATTCCTCTGCTGTGAGAGTCCCTCAAGTCTGTAATCTGTGTTTTGAGAAGGTCCCTTATCTGCCTTATCAAACATTGGGTTTGCAGAATTGCTCCAGGCCGTTTACATTTGCATGATAAAGAGTCTTTATAGGGGCGATGAATACAGCAGATTAAATTTCAAACTGTTAGAATTCAAAAGTTGTTTGTGCTTATCTCATTGTTTGAGCAGTCAACCATTAAAAATAGGCCAGCCTTGCTTGTTACCTGGGCAGAGAGAGGAATGCTGGTCTTTGTCTGGCAGTGGGCACTATTGATCTGGAGTGAAATAATTGACTTGTTGAACAGTTCTGTGTTAGATAGCTGTGGTGAGAAGCTCCTCCATTGTAATGATTGGTGGAAGTTCTGAGATATCTCTCTGATTGTGTAACTGTTGTACGTACAGCTCATTATCACCGTCAGTCGATCAGCAGCAGATGTTAAGTATGTGTACATCATCAGTCTTAGTTTGTGTACTGGATGTACAAATGCTTGTTTTCTAGAGGGATTAATACTTACAACACAGGGACTATTTACTAAGAATGTCCAGTTAAAGGTTTGACATTTGTATGACCTTGTGCTCTCAATAATACACACATCTGTTTCCCAGAGGTGTGTTATTGCTGTTTGTTCACTCTTAGCCCTGTACACAGTAATTGATCTCTTGCCAGCCTGAGATTAATCTTCATACAGTGTGGTTTTACCGGATGATAGATTATGCCTGGCCTTGTTTCTTGTCTATTTCTGTCGTGTCGACTGTATATGCTTGGCGCGTCATTCACGCCAGCGTTTTATTTCTTTGTATGATCAGGAACGTTTCTTCTCTGTTGTTGTAGACCAGAAATCCTACATCTAAACAACCACCAGCCAACTCAGAAAAATCTTCCTCTGTTCGGAATAATAAAGTTAAACAGAAAGAGGCGAAATCCACGGATCAAGATTCAGACAAAGGTGAGCACTATATTGATTTTTTCTCTTATGTCCAGAAAGTGTTTTAATTTAATTAAGGAAACCATTCTTTTTTCTGTCCATGTAATTTGTTTTTGTTATTGGTTATTTAATCCTTTTTTTATGGTGAGGGAGAAAGGGGAGGGTGATGGGGGTGGGGGAGGGGATTGGTAATACACTGGAAAGCTGTAATCTGACCTCTGTTTATAACCCCCTGTATACCTTCCTAGTCCTGATGACAGATAAGGCAGATGTTTTGAGTAATCTCTTCATACAAGATTATATGTCTGATTCATACAGGTTTAGCATTTATGGTGACAAGTTGATGGTAGATTTGCATGGGGAAGACTGTCCTAGTGAGACAAAATGGCTGATCAGATGACAACCTGACCAGACCTCATACATTAGCTTTTACTTAGAGATTCAGCACACTTCCTGGGATAAATTATTGATTTACATTGGGGGACCATTTATATCAGAGAACTAAAAACATTTATTTTTTGAAATAATTACAAAAAGTTTGCATAAAACCAGACCGTGTTTTTTTTGGTTTGTTTTGTTTTTGTTTTGATTTTTGTTTTTTGGTTAAATATTATTTTATTCTGTGATAAAATATGTAAGATTAATTTGATGCTGCAACCCTATAGTGACCTGGAAGTTCAGAATCTGTACAAATTTCCAACAAAAGAGATATGTATTAAGTTGGCAGAAAAAAATATAATGAAAATTTTTTTTGTGGGGGGAGGGTTGAAAGGATTGAGAGATGGTTCAGTGATTTTCAGTATGAACAGAGAAAACACGGAATTCCTCCCTTCATAAACCACAGTATGGATAACAAATTCCAGAATTCTCATATTTTGCTGATAATTATGACTCCTCCAGGAATGTTTCTATTTTGGGTGATGACTCCTTGGGGATTAAAGTTTGATGGGAGTTTTTTGTTCAGATATAGGCAATCATTGAGGAAATCAGGTACTCATTTTGATTAGAAATTCTGAAAAAAGAGAAAATTATGCCTGTTCTAAGTTTGTATTAGGACACAATACTTGACCTATTCATTCCAGCATTTTGATTTTAGATTTGTAGGTTATGTGGTGTATTTTACCCAGGTAGCCTCACTACTTGTGCCTAGAATAACAAGTTCATGCAGGCTTGGATCTGATAGGATTGATAAAGAGACAATATTGACCTGTGTGTGTATTATGTAAAGCTGCCTGAACAATCACATGATCTGTGGAGCTTATCAGGATATCAATTATTAATGAGGCATTCCATTAATAACTTGTTTGTACTTACTCGTGGTTCAAGTCCGGGGTCACTGTAATATTTGACGGAGTTTTATTGAGTTTGCCGTTTCAATTTAATAAGCTGGAGAGCTCACATTGTGTGAATTGTTAATCGGATATAAATATTCATCACTGCCAAGGCAGAAATGAAAAGCCAATTTTTTTTCTTTTTTTTTGTAGAATTAAGTATGGTTAGACAAACAGGGAATATATAAAAGCTTTTGGAAAGACCAATGTGATATTTGTCATCTCATAGGGATCAACGGGGAATAATGTTTGTGATCATTGAATAAATCTATTAAACGTGACAGATATTTAAAGGATAGTCACTTTGTTAACATCGGGACTAAATACAAGAACTTTACAACATAGAGGATGTCTACCACTTAGTATTGACATTTTTTTTTTCTGAAAAGAGAATACCCTTTAAATAGCTTGGCATGAATCCCGGGTGGGATTTAAACAACTAAATGCTATTGATTAAGATTCTCCCAATGGGTCTACAAAGACCTAGTACTGAATACAAAATAGGGAGCTGGTTTTAATTTAAATGACAGGTCCATCATACTGGTGTCTGGCCCATTATTATTTACGAGGATTGACTTTCTAGCTATTGTGTGATAACATATGTAAAGAAGTATGCCTGCAAGGATTTCCCAGGTAATTAAATGTGTGGCTGTTTTGTACTGGCAGGGTTCTCAACAATATGTTCTTGTTTGTAATAACTTGTCATATTCATTTAATTAATTTTGTTGCAATGTTGTTTCAGAAAAACCAAAAACTGGAAAGCCAGTAACAACAAAAGACCGAAAAAGAAAACCTGTGGATTTCTCCGAGAATTCTAGTGACTCCACAGATGGTACATTGGAAAGAAGATCACGCTCGGTAGAGAAGCGAGTGAAATCCGACGATAGCAAAGAGGATCAACCTAAGGCAGCAACCGACTCATCCAAATCAAAATCTGAACACAAATCAGTGAAAAAAGACACTTCTAGTGAGAATAAGATCTCAAAGGACAAAGTTCATCCAAAACGATCCCGAAAAACTTCAACTTCAGACAGTCCTACAAAACAATGTTCAAAATTGCGACCGAGTCGACATAAGAAGGACTTGCCTGTCTGTGATTCATTGTCATCCCAACATGAGGGGTCCCAGAGTTCTCCTGACTCCAGGGACAGTGTAGGGAGCTCCATCTGTGATAATCAATCCTCGGGGGAATGCCCCACCACTCAGTCTGACGAAACCCAGTCTGACCAAGCCAATACAGAAGATAATATGCACTTTATGAAACAGAGGTTGTTAGCAAGCAACACCTCTTCTGAAAAATCTCCGGGCCCAATTAATGCCAATATTGATGTCAACCGCTCGGTGACAGATCAAATCGCAAAACTCTCCCGTGCTGAAAGTGCCGGATCTCACTCGGAGGAGGAGAAATTCATTTCATCCAATAAATCTGTCTCGCCAAAATCTTCTGGAAGCTTTCTGTCATCTGTTTCCACTGCTGATGTGTATACTCACGAACAGGACAAGGAGCTAAGGAATAACAATATCAGTGATCATGTGTCTGGATGTAATTCTCTCTCAAATAGTTTGAATAATGATGAACTCCGATCAAGCTCGCGAGCAAGTGAACATTCTAACTCAGGATTAAATGAAGACAGGAGACCAGCATCTCGACTTGATGATCTCAAAACATCTCAGAAAAACAGTCCATCTTCTAGTCCGTTAATCATTGACAAAAGTGAACCTGTGCATCCCTATAGGGACCCTGAACTCATGAGAAAAAATCCTGTTCACAGTAACATTCACGGCATGCTTGGGAGCCACAAGAAGCCACCGTACTCCAGTGTTCATACTCCCATTCCCTCAGCTGCCACCCCTACCCAGTCAATCCCATCAACCACCACCTACCCCTCTCATCCCATCCCCCCAAACCATGTGATCCCCTCCTTACAGTATCCTCCTCATCATCTCACAGCCGCTCTGGGGGCCGCTGCCACTCTGGGCATCCATCCTTCTCTTGCTCAGATGGACCCGTCACAATTAGCAGCTCTTCAACACCAACAGTTAGCCTCCATGCAATACCAGCTCCTCCTCTCCAGGGGAGGTTACCCGTCAACCCTCACCATGCCTCAACTGGAGCACCTCTGGCAGAAGACTTACCCCTCCATTCCCATCCCTCCTCAGTATTTACTGCCCAAAAACCGGGAGGATCTACTGGGGCACCTGTTCTCCAAGGAGAGGGAGTTAATAGAGAGGGAACGACTGGAGAGAGAAAGGATGGATCGGATTGAAAAGGAAAGACTTGAACGGGACCGGCAGCTAGAAAGGGAGAGACAAGAGAGAATTGAGAGGTAAATCACGTCAAGTGTTTATTTGTTAATAACACGGAAAATAAATTCATCTCAATACAATATAGGATTGGTATGTTTGTCACAAGATTGCATTCGATAAATATACAATAAATAAATTAAAAACCATGCAAAATAATAAAGGAAAAGGTGGGAGGGAAAATACCGACTTCATCAACTGTAATGAATGTTGCATTGTTTTTAACACTGTAAAACCTTAATATTTGGCAAAGATATGAATTTTTTTTATGCTTTCACTTAATTTATAAACAGACTTGGAATTTTTCTGTAAGATATAAACATGAAATGTGAATTACCTTGCCTTTGATTGATTTAATCTATGTTGTATTGTGGACCCATTGAGAGGTAAATACAATGCATAAAGAGGTTAATTATTGAAAATGTTATCTACAAATGCAGTAGATTTTTGGACAAGGATTTCTTGCTTTTGTTGTTGAAAAATGTTCATGATCAAAAAGTCAAAGGCCACCAGCAAATATGTACAGAAATAGCCTTGATATGAATCTTAACACTTGGTTGTTAGGGGGCAAATACTTCATTGTTGTGTTGACAGGTAAAACTAGTGATCTGGCAGTGGATAGATCAAGTGAACTTTGATTTCTAAGTCAACATGTGATTTCTATTCGGGATTTTGTTTTGGATATTGTAGTACTTGCCTTGTCAATATCTCCGCATGCATTCTGTAGAAAAAGGCACCTTTAACACAACCAACATGTGATGTAGGTGGTTTATGAATTTTACATGTGTTCAGGAAATATAATTTAGGGCTACTTGAGATTCAAAGCATATACATGAGAATAAAAGCCCCCAGAATGACATTTATGGTGTATTGCGCTTAAACAGGCGTAGGGCACCTTAAGGTTGACTGTGTATACAGCACTGGGAACTGAAGCGTGACTGGCCTTTGTGATTTAAGCCCTGGGCTTCCACACAACACTACACACTTACATGACATCTCCTTATTTGGCAAAAGGTAAAAAAAAAATTGGTGCCTTACAGCAAAGACTTTAATTTAAGGTCTTTCGAAATCGCTTATTGACTAAGCAGATTGGGTTTGGAACAAACTATTGATATTTTTGTATAATGGCTTTGTACTTGTATTTGATCAGAGCTGTTGAACTTTGATAGCCTACCTATCTATTAATCATGTGTTAACGGGGGCTGTCTCAAAAGCTGGTAGCCACAAACACCTAACCACAATAAGGGATTATCTCAAAACTTTTTTCTAAGGGACATTTTAATTAAAATTTATAAATTACTTTACAATTTACTCTCAGAAGATAGTTCTTTACAAAGAATATGTTTAAAAAAAAAAGGGGGGGGGGGAATCATAGTTTGTAGGAAGGTAATTATCTGGGCTATTATCAGGGAGAATTAAAAGTCTTGTTTGGTATAGTTGTGTTATGGTGACTCATGTACTACTACATTTATATATAATGTATCCTAAATATGATATTTACATGATACATGCAGCTCAATGGGTCTACAAGTTACATGGATTTATAGTAAACATCAGTCTCCTTGGACTAAGTATTCATGATCTCTCAAAACTAGCCAAATATTGCTCTGATAATTAGTGGAAGACAGCTGACATTATTGTGTTGTCATGCTGTAATTAATTTTTGTTTCCTCGTCTTATGCATGCCTTCACACTTATACACGACATGATAAGCTCTCAAATTACTTGTTTACCACAATTTATGGGTGTTTTACAAGACTTGTACCAACCCAAGTTCATTAGTGTCTCTCCAAGGACCAGGCACTTCATAGTCTGACTTTAAGTGGATTTTTTTTAATATCCTTCATTAGTAAAAAGTTTCCCCTCTAGATATTTTCATTTGTTAACCACTGAACATCACAAAATAATAATAGACTCATTGATGTTTAAAATAATTCTGTGTCATTCAGTAGAAATGATGTAGGTTTATTATTAAATCAATGGAGGACAATATATGTGTTGAAAGTAGTACATGTACGAGTATTTATTAAAAAACATGTAAACAAATATTAATATCTGTAGATGATTTTCTTCCTGTAAAAATTGTTGGCATTTTGAATTCCAGAGTTTTATCCTTTGTGTATATATTGAGTGAAGAGATAATGAAAGTAGATATTGCATATTTATATATTTATTTTTCAGGGAACGAGTAGAAAGAGAGAGAGACAAAATAGAGAGAGAACGAGAGCAAGCCATGAGGGAACGGGCAGAGAAGGAAAGATTGGAGAAGGAACGTCTAGATCGAGAACGGAAAGAAAGGGAGGAATGGAAGAGAATGGAGCATGAACGAGAGCAAAAGAAGGAACGTGAACGGATCCTGAAGGAATCAGCCGACACCTTGGCTGCTGTTGATGACCATTTTGCTCGTTCTCTGCGGAACAAAGAGGTAAGACTCTATTGTAGCAAGTTCGTGGATTAGTGGGGAAGGGGGTAAATTCTCTATATTTCCCTATATTGCTGAAATTCCTAGTGTTTTAACTTTCAAACAAAAGTCAATTTTTATTAGAAGATGGATTAATATCTATATGGGCACTGGTATATTCATTTGATTAGTATTTGTGAAATAGAAGGCAGGGGTTCATGTTTGCAGCCTTATCAATATTAGAGTTGGGGATAATTGTACAGAAATGGGATGATATTGGTAACTCCATTAATAGGGTGGAGCTTGGTCAGTCCCTTCTATAACATTAGGGACTGGTAAATCAGGACCACTGACCAAATCTGAGGACAGTAATAAACCCCTGGAAGACAAACAGGTCAGTTATATTGCTCTAATACAGCACTGCTTCCTAGAGATGGATGATGCACTTAGTAACAGAGGGAAGGAGGGTATGCTGGGAGAGGGAGTGATGAAGAAATCAGGGGACAGGATATAGGGAGAAAAAAGAGGGTGTTCTATGTTTGATGGGAGGGACTGGGTGTGATATGTTGGATGGGAGTCAAAGTGCACTTTGCAATTGATGTTGATGAAAATGTGGAGGGTGAGGACAGTGGCTTCTGTTTGCTTATTGTGCGTGCTGTGCAGGGTTGGTTTGGTTTGATGGTGTGATATAGCCTCTAACGATTTCACAAGACAATGCCTTAGCTTGCTTATCATTTCTGTTCTTGGGGAGAAGCATTCATTAACTAGATATTGATTTCTTATGTCAGATTCAGAGGAACAGGGCCATTATGTATTGATTGTGTAATAAATGTTCTTTCAGATTACTCAGTATCAGATCCTCTTTATAATGGCCCTCAGCAATAGGAATTTAGATCTTTGACCTATATATGCTTCCAGCAGAAATTAATGAAATTGAACTTTTCCCTTTCAGGAGAGAGAACAGATGCTGAAAGTGATAAGACAACAGGAGATGGAAAAATTCTACAAGCAGAGCTTTGAACATCAGAAAGTTTATGAGCAGCTTCAGAAAACAGATATCAAGTCTGAGAAGCTTCCCAAAAGTGAGGCCTATAAAGCTTACCCCCAAAGCAGTAGTTCCTCTAACCCTGTAAAACAGGAGAAACCAAACTTTAGTTTGTATGGTTATCAACCTTTCCAGCAGCTTTCCTACATCTCCCCAGACCAGCTCCATCTTCACGGTCTGGACAAGAAAGAGGAGAAACTAAACATGGACTCTTCTAAACAAAGTCTAGCTCATGCAGCAAATATGGCTAGTCAGATGTCATCTGCTCCACCACCACTCATCAAAGATGGCCACAGTTCAGTGATATATGATAACCGTTATAAGGATGGTTCTAATTCCACTAGTCCACGACCTGCCCATTCACATCACAGTCATCACATCTCCTCTCAGTCACCTCGGCAACCAAAGCCAGCTCACACCCCCAATCGTCATCACGGAAGTCCACACCAGGACCAGTCCATTGATCTCTCCTCATCCTCTGGACTTCAGGTCTCGGCTTTATCAGCATTCAGATCTACAGAATCAAAACATATCGGACCAAGAACACAGAGTCCACTTCGTGTGGCCAGTCCTCATCAATTAAATGTAGCAGTGATGCAGCAGCCAGTCAATTATCACAGAAATGAGGGTAAACCAAGGACTAGCCCCTCCTCCAAATCCCCTGTCTCCTCCAATAGCAGTAACGTTCCATATATGTCTGCAGCAATAGCCCAGCCTCCAGTGTCCTTGCCCGCAGGATCTGTGGATTATAGCTGCAGTCTCATTCAACAAGGCCTCGTTCCAAATCCCATCTACTCTCAGAACAGTGTGAACCCGGCAGCAGAGCACCATGGGAATAGTCACAGTATGTTGACCACCACCCAGAGCATGGCTCCTACCTCCTCACACAACACACACTCAACTACAGGCCAGCAGGGAGTGAAGCGCAGACCAAACAAGGAAAGCAGCAATCGTAAGCGACAGAAAGCTGACAATGGGGGCAGTAATCCTGGTGTAGGGAGTGGTGGTGTGCCAGTCACTACCCCCCAGATATTGACTAATCCTTCCCCCTATACCACTACAAACAGTCAGTCCTCTGTCACCTCAACATCAGCCACCACCTCCTCAGCCATGTCCATGCTTCTCTCCTCCACATCATCCAATCCACCACAGGGAACCTCAGGATTCATGGACAGCTTCAAGTCATTTGTTGAGAATGCAGTTCAGAATGCATTTTATCAGGACTCTGATTTAGCAGACGGCAAAAAGGTTCCTGCTCCACCCCCTCCCCCCACACAACAGAAGCCAGACCCCTCCCCAAGTCTGGCTGCTGAGGAGTCCAGTCTAGCAAGCTCCAATAGTCATTCAACTCTGATGGATACAATAAGCCGAGTAGCCAATGGTCAGATAAATGATACGGACAGTGACACTCTCAGTGCCCCCAGCCCTCCACCACATATCACTAACCCCTCTTCTCAAGGTAAAGCAGCCAACCACCCCAAACTCAAAAAAGCTTGGCTTCAGAGACACTCGGATGAAGATAAATTGGAGACAAAGGTTGAACCAGGGTCACCTTCAACAGAAAATGACACAGAAGTGTCACCAAAGGCAGAGGACAAGCTCAAGAACTGTTACGTTAATCTGACAAACATTTCTCCCAAAAAGGAGCCGGGAACCAAATCACCAGTGACCAGTAGTGCTTATAAGCTTCCTAATGGGAATATTATCGGGAAGGATAAAGATGACGAGTCCACGACGTCAGCCTCAGAAACAGAGTCACAACAGGTAAATATTGCCTTTATTTCATCAGTTCAGGGATATTATAGCAATATATTGGGAAGGTCATTCAAGATAAAATCTACAAAGCAAAAGTATGAAGAGAGCATTTTTCTGCAAGATTTTCTAAATTTTTTCCACAATATTAAATTGCCATTTGTTGGCAGTGATTGGGATATAAATTGAACATTTATATGGATTGAATTACATGCTTTAGGAAATAGCAAAGGATGCATTTGTTAATATTATGCATAGCATGCATTTGTTAATATTATGCATCAACATACATTGTTGGAATAGTATAACAGCTGGAATAAATGTAAGAATTTGAAGGGTTATTAATGTTGTGTAAACTTTTAAAAACTTGTTATTATGGAATCTTTGACAGAAGCATTGCAAGGCAATCATAAGGGATAGTTTTAAAATGTGTTGGATTTCTGTTGTAAGTTTGATTAATAATTTAAACAGAATATTAAGCTAAGAAAATATATCTGAAAGACTCCCTGAATTTTGTCCTGTTGCTTAAACTGTTGTATCTATTTATAGGTGAGTGACTCCTCACAGAAAAGAAAAATAGCCACAAAGAAGCAGTCCAGTAACAAGAAATCCAAGGCCGACAGTGATGATAATAGTCCGCCATCTAACACTGCTGTCAAAAAGAAAGCAGTCAAGAAAAAGGAGCCAAAGGAAAGCAAAAATGTCAAAGTAAGGCACCAGTTTGATAACAGAAGCAAAAAAATAATTCTGATTGTTGATGGAAGTCAATAAAGATTGGATATATATATTTGGTGTACAAGAGAGGGAATATAGTACTGTGTCAATACATGCTCTGACCCCTGGCATATGTAGCTGTGTGTATGTGTGCAGGCATAGAATATCTGTAAGTACATACTTTGAATCCCCACAAGTGTGTGTATGTGTGTAAATTGAAGGCATAGAATACTGTGTCAATACATACTTTGACCTCCAGCACATGTGTAGTGTGTGAGTGTGTGTGTGTGTGTTCAGGCATTTAATACTGTGTCAATACCTACCCTGAGCCCTGCAGGGACTTAATCCCTTCAGATAAGCTCTGTGGATAAGGTCTCTTACTGTTTCTTTGGGAATTAATAACTAATCTTCTTTATCAGCTCCAATTCTCTGCTGACAAATTCTCAATACACACCTGTATTACAGCCAAGGTTAAGATTAATCTACATGAATATGCTACAGTAAGGTACATTAAATCACCTACAGGTCATGGTTATCTGAATTCATTACATTTTTGTAGGGTTGGCAGTGTTCATATGTAGTGGTTTGTTATCTTACCACTGCTGCATTGTAACACAGAGAGATGATAGGCTAGTCACTGAGTTGTTCTACTGTTGTAACTAACACTTAGCTTAGGGTCACATTGAAATCCACCAAAAAAGCTTTTAACCTAGGGTTTAGGGACAGTAACCAAGTTACTAGCCCAAAATCACATAAGTTACTAGTCCATGTTATTGGTTACTAGTTCATCAGTTACTGGTTACTGGCCAAAACCAAACAAAAAACTGTCAGAATCCAGGAAGAGGTTTATAAGGAGAGTGACATTGACTTTCTATTTATAGGGTAAAGATCACTCAGAGGATGACAAAACAGTCAACAAAGACAACTCAAGTAACACATCTGTGAAAAAGGAAAAAACCAGAGAGGCTCCAAAGGTGCGGGCTACAAGTCCTGAACCAATGGAGGTAGAGCAGGACATCAAGAAAGAGAAGGCAGAAAAACCATTGGACAACTCGGCATCCTCCAAAATAAAGAAACCTAAGAAACAGAAAGAGCAGCCTCCTAAGACAGAGTCTTCCTCACCCCCAGGGCCAACACCCACTGTGGTTCACCCCCCAGTGGTACCCACCAGCCATTCACAGCCTTCTGGTTAGTTTCGCAATCTTGGTGTCAGTATGTGTGTTTTCTTTTAATATGACAGCCACAGTTTATTGTTTATATTGGCCCAATAACGTATTTACAATGTTGAAAATTAGTACAATAATATGTAATATATAGAGACTGGAACTCTAAAGTTGATCCTATATGTTTGTACAGGTGGGACCTCCTATAACAAACCTCCTGTCTCCTTGTTGAAGAAAACGTGTGAGCCATTCTTACAAGATGATTCCTGTAGTGAGGTCACCCCAAAACTGATGAAATGTCGGGAATGTAAGATGACACCCACCCAGCGCAGCAAGAAACTCCCCAATATTTTCTGTAGATTTTATGCCTTCAGAAGGTAGGTCTTATCAAGCTGATAGCCTTTCTGATCAGAATCTCAAAATAGCATTAGTCCTAGAGTATCAAATTTATAGTCCTTCTGAGTATAGTCCCACAATATCCTTAGTATAATCCCTCAATAATCCTGATGAGTATAGTCCCACAATATTCTGAGTATAGTTCCACAATAACCCTGATGAGTATATTCTCATGATATCAGCACAGTCATGTAATATCAAATTTTTTAGCCCTTTTGAGTATCCAACAAATAGCAACACAGAAATATCTTAAAGTATTATTTCAGATGTTTGTCATACATTTTTTTCTGTCAAGATGGCAATAAAGGTACTACTGTCTTTGGACGTAATATTTTTATATTCTTATTGTTAGATTTGTCCTTGTATTGTTGGTTAGATTTGTCCTTGAACTTTGTGGAAGAGTAATCATGTTAGATGATCCAAGTGTTGCCTGCTATGGGGAGCATGTTTCCCAGATAAACACAATTTCCCTGTACTGTTAGAACTTTATAGAGGGGCTTTTGACAATGTGGAGTAAATACTCCTTCATGTTGGCAGATTATTTTCTCTAAGAAGGAAATCGGGACATGAATCAAGAATTCCCCTACATCAGTTGTCTTAAGAATGCACTCATTTATAATAGGGCAGATACCAAATTATAAGAAGACAAAAAGCATCATACACAGGCCCTGATAGGCTTCTCTTTGTTTTCTGAACTAGATTAGCTTTTTAAAATCCCAAACATCTGCCTCTCATTGTGAGCAAAACCACTGCCAAAATACTTGTAAAAATAGCTGCTGTTGAGGCTGCTGTAATATCCTGCCAGAATGCTTGAGAGAGGGAGCTTGATAAGATATGTTTATTGTAGGCAAAAGTTTTGGTAGAAATTCCACTCAGCCAAAAAGTGTTATCAAGTTTGTAGAGTAAGATGAAGATAATTTGTGGAGTTATGTTTGGTGAAGGTTAACATATGAGCAGAGGGGGGAGGATTGATACACAATACAGGGATATTAAACCATCTTATACAGAAATATCTCCCTCTAAGTGGGGTTTTTGTTCGACAAAAAAGAACGACAGGCTCATAAACCAAAATAACAGTCTGAAGCAGAAGTTCACAAGGTCAGATCTGTAGATAAACAAAATGGCAGAGGTTACTTTGTATAACAGAGGCTCCCTTTGTTGTCAGTGTTGATAAAGAGGGAGTGTATTTATGGAGTCTAGTGCATACAGAATCTGATCCTACTGATGTTGTTGGAAATTGATGTAATAGATTTTCCCAGTGGCAGTGCACTTAATTAATGGGCACCATGTAAAGGCCCACCACTACATGATCATTAGAGCATTTTAAAAAAGCACTAGCAATTTGTTGCAGCAGGGAATGAAAGTTTTGAACAGAAAGAAGGGGTTTCCTGTTACCAGTCATTAAGTATGCCCTGAATACTTTAATTTCATTGGTTTGTAAACTGAGTGATCTATTATTAATCTTCAATCAAAAGAAAATACAAGGGGTAGTGCACTTTACACTATAGAGTTGATGTTCTCCAAACTTGGGAAACAGCAGGCATCTGTCAGAGGCTGTTTACATGGCTTATTCTGGGAAACAAGTTGCCCACAGAGAATTGAGTTTCTCCAGATGTTCTGGGGCCTTCCTTAAAGTACTCAATCAATAACTGTATCATTTAAAAAGAATTCTGTTAAACCCATCGATAGGAACTTACTGATAAATGAAATCACATACAGCCTTTTTAACATAATATGCTAAACAGAAGAAAATTGATAAGTTTTTTAAATACAACCCACAATGCATCGTTACAGATTTTCGTTTTTTTTTTATTGACAGACTGAGGTACAGTCAGAGAGGTTTCCTGATGATTGACGGATTCTCCGAACTCTCAGATGCCATTAATGAGGATATAGACCCGTGGTTACCAAATATTCCAGTCATGGAACCCAGAATAGATATAGAGACTGCCAAGTACATTGTGGCACGGGTAGGGGATAAATTCTGTGAACTGGTTCAGCAGGAGAGAGAGGCGAAGAATCTGGCCGGAGATGAAGGTCAGTATGTCAAATCTGTGTGTTGTCAAAGCAGTATCTTCATACTACAAAAAGATACTTGTTGGATGTTTTTAATTGGATACATTGTACTGTGAAAAGATGGAGAATCTGGTAAATTCTAATGCTGATATGTTTTTCCTTACATTTACAGCTAAAATAGCCTGGAAGAGAGCAGTGACAGGTGTTCGTGAAATGTGTGATGTTTGTGATACCACACTGTTTAACATGCACTGGGTTTGTCATAAGTGTGGATTTGTGGTTTGTCTGGACTGTTATAAAGTGAGACTCCGCGCTCTCCAGCAGGATAGCGGGGATGAAGGGGAGGAATCCGATCCTTATAATGCAGCACAGCAAGAGGAACAACGCGACTGGCTTACATGTAGTGCAAACCGTCAACAACACGAGCCCGACAAACTGATGCTGACTCAGATCATTCCGGGAGATGCATTATGGGAAGTGGGAAAACTGATCCATGACATGAAGAAGAAGTGGAACGTCCCCTGCAAGTGTTCTTGTGGTCAGTCCAACTCCAAACTGGTGCAGCAGAAAAATGGCCTTAACCAGGTAAAGTGTTATTTATTACAGTACAGACAAGTTAATGTTCGATGGTGAAATAAGACTACTGATCCAAAAAAATATTTGCATTAATAAGATGCATTTGTATCATAGTTATGATTTTGTGACTGTCTCGGGTGATTCTTTTGTTCAGTGTCAGTAAGCAGTCCTACCCATCACTGAAAACAAAACCATTAAATTCTACTGCCTTGGTCTAAAAAACATTCATTTATCAGCATGATAGGACAAAATAATGCTGAATTATTCTATGCATGTTAGATTAAGAGCAGTTCAGTTTGATTATTGATGAATGCGATGGCTGTGTGAGTAGGAGGACATTTACTTTGTCCTGAGTGGTTTATTATAATCTTGTTATAGAGAAATAGCTTTTCAAAGACAAAGCACCTGCTTTTTTAGAGATGTATAATAATCTAGATCTCACCATTTGGGTCTGAGCTGCCAGAACAAATAATGTTTTGCTACTTAGAATTTCCTGTATTTGCGAGTTAAAAAAATGCTACTTGAAAGAAATCAAGGTCATTGAAGGAAAAGCATTGCATAACAGTGCTAGAGTTATAAAAGAAATATCTTTAGTGTCTGAATTGTGCCAGCTTATGGCAGATAAGATCAATATTTGTAGTTGACATCAGGGAATTATGCAACCAGATATCATTAAAAAAAAATAAGTGAATAAAATTATAGGGTCGTAGAGTTCAAAATAAATTACCCATCCTTACAAAATTATTTATAATCTCTGCAGATTTTCGAAGCTGTGTCATTTTTAGTGGAATGTAATTTGCACATATTGATTTTTTTTTTAAATTTATTTATTCAGCAGTATGTTCAACAGGCCATCAACCATTTGTCAAACAACAAGTCCAAAAAGTTGATCAATGGAATAGCTGAGGACCACAAAATGTACAAAGGCAAGAAAGATTCCATCAATGGTAACATCAAGTATAATCCCAATAGCTCATCTCCTCTCAATCTACTGGCAGATGTTGCTTCTATGGATTCTGAAACCAGTCGTGATCGCAGCGAGTCACCCTTTGGCAAAAACATTGACAAGTTTGGCAAGTCGTACAATCCTATTACAGAGCCTGTATCACCGTGTGGAGGGGGGAACAATGCTAGTGATGGCGATAATGAGAAAAAGAACCCAGCCAGCTGCTCAACGCTGCGGGAACTGTTAACAAAAACTGCAGGGAAAGTCAAGTCTGACAACAACAACAAAAAGTCTAAACCCAAGTCGAGTAGCAGCACATTGGACGATATCATCCAGTCAGTGGTAGAGAAACAGTTACCTCGAGATGAGAATAGCCAACCAGTTCGCTTAATGCATTACATTCCTCGTATGGGACACAGCAGCATGTTGACCCGAGACACACCCATTCTGGTCCATAATCTGACAGAGACCAGTGTGTTGTACCCTGATGTACCTCACTCCTGGCTCTGTGATGGCCGTTTGCTGCGTCTTCATGATCCCAAACATAAGGGAAATTTCAAGATCTTCCAGGAACAGTGGAAAAGAGGTCAGCCTGTCATTGTGTCTGGGGTGGACAAACTTTTAAACCGCTCGCTTTGGCATCCTTCCTCATTCAGCAAGACCTTTGGGAAGGAGAAGAATGATGTGGTCAATACCATGTCTGGTGTGGTGATCATAGGTCACCCTATGTCTGTGTTCTGGGACGGATTTGAGCGTCTCAGAGACCGCCTGCTGGATGATGACGAGGAACCCATGCTTCTGAAGCTGAAGGACTGGCCACCAGGGGACGATTTTAGTGATCTAATGCCAAACCACTTCGATGATCTCATGCAGGCTCTTCCTCTGCCCGAGTACACTCATCGCCATGGCAAACTCAATTTGGCATCCCGTCTCCCTGACTTCCTTGTGAGACCAGACCTGGGGCCTAAGATGTACAATGCATATGGTGAGTATGCTGTCATAAATCTGCTCTATATTTTATTGTTGATAATAAGTTCCATATTTAAAGAATTGATAAATACTTTTAGGAATGCTTAGTGCAGAATATATTTGTTGTTAATTCTAGGGTCTGCAAAGTATCCGAGTGAGGGAACTACAAACCTCCATCTCGATGTCTCTGATGCCGTCAATTGTATGGTGTACGTCGGAATTCCAGCCGATGGTCCAGGTGGCAAACAGCCCCACATCAACATGGCTATCAAGGCTATTGACGACGCGGGCTGCGACACGATGACAAAGAAGCGCGTAAGAGAAACCAACGAGGTTCCTGGTGCACTGTGGCACATCTATGATGCCATGGATGCAGACAAGATCAGGGATTTCTTAAATAAGGTAATCTTAATTATATATATTTAAAATGTTGTTGTGTTGAAGGTATTTAGTGTAATAAGCTTTTTGTCATCCTTAGAAACTTTACCATGCACAGTCTGTGTTTCACATCATAGGCACTACTTTATAATGCAATTCTTACTCAAACCCATTCATTATATCAATAGAAGGGGGCATTCAACTTATGATGCAGTTATATGATCATTTATAAAACCTGTACTCTGCCTGTACTAGAGTACAAATCACTCACTGTTACATAACTTCCCCCCTCCTCACTGTGATGACATTCCAGGTTTTATGTAACAACTGATTACATTACTATCAAACGTGTTACATTGTAATTACCACGTGATTACGTCTAGGGAAACATTCTGAGTGGATGACAAATTTTGTTACATGAAGAGCTTGTTTAGTTACAGTCAAGAGAGAACAGAGGATGTAGTGACACGAAGAAAACTGTCGTAGTGAGAAACAATTTCCAGAAAATAGTTGTGTAATACATGCACACATCAGAAATGTCATCTATCATAGACAGTCTAATGCACTTAAATCTGTCAGGAAAATTCTGTCCATATTCTTGTAAAGAATACAAGTGATGTTATTTAAAGCCCCGGTAGGAAGTTTGTAGGCGTGTTGTGTATAATGAGGCAGTGTCATGAGATGTAATACAGGAGGGATGATAAGACACGGTATACTTGTGTTTGATAGCAATAGATAGGGCTGACCTTGAGCATCACTAACGTAAGGCAGGTTCAGTGAACTGTGTTACTGACAAAGGAATGTAGACAAATTGGCTGGTGGCCAGCTTTACTGGTATCCAGTCATCATGAGGGGCAACACAACAGCACTGAATAATTCAGATACTCAGCCAATTTCAACAGATGTCACTCTTATTATAACATTGAAGAATGTTCCAGGAATGGCATCAAAAGAAAAATAACAATCTGTATGTAATTGTTAAAGTTCAAATTCTCTGAGAGCTTAGCATCAGGTCATTATAAAAGGTCTTGTATGAATGTCACAGTTTTGCTGAACCTCTCAGATCATATCCTGTTTTACTGTAGAATTTTATGATATACAATATCATGTTAAGCTATGTGACAGCAGGTAATCCCAGTAAATTATCCTCGTTATAGGCAGATTTTCTCGGGTTTTGTTTGTACCAATTGAACCAAGCAGAAGGAAATGTTTTTGTGGTTTAGTTTTATTACGTAGAATTGCATTTTCATATAAGCAACAAAAAATGTGTCAGAAAAAAAATGAAGTAAAACTCCTGTGCTCTGATGCGATCACATTTACCTTGGTTAGATAGAAAAGATAAAGACATTATTGTGAGGTTTTTAATTATTTATAAGTGATGTCTGTAAAATGCAGGAGTGTAAGTCAGTTTGACATTACCTGTCAAAGATTTTCCAAACATTCCTAGGAAACTATTCAGAGTTGAATGACATGTCTGGCAGCATGCCTATTGATCTGATGAAAAGCTTAGATATTACTCTGATTAAAATGTATAGGTGTCTATAGATATTACTCTGATTAAAATGTATAGGTGTCTATAGATATTACTCTGATTAAAATGTATAGGTGTCTATAGATATTACTCTGATTAAAATGTATAGGTGTCTATAGATATTACTCTGAATAAAATGTATAGGTGTCTAAAATAGTAGAACAATAAGGATTTCTTTAAAAGGGGGGAGTTGAAGGGGTAGTATTTTAACGAACACTAGCTGATTTGAAAATTTAGAAATATTTTGTTCAGTTTTACTTAACTTTCTCCAGGTACAAAATTCCTTGAGGTTTTATTGTGGTTGCTTTTGATTTCAAGTTACACAGTTTACATATTCATTTGTTTTTGAATTTTTGAAGAATTAACTTGATCTTTACTCTCTTAAATGTATGTGAAATCTTTTAACAGGTGGGTAAAGAGAGGGGAGAGGAGATTGAGCCCCACCATGACCCAATTCATGACCAGAGCTGGTACCTAGATGTGGAGCTTCAGAGTCGCCTTTATAAGGAATATGGAGTGCTGGGATACACTATTGTACAGTGTATGGGAGATGCTGTGTTTATCCCTGCTGGGGCCCCCCATCAGGTGAAAAATCTTCACAGCTGTATCAAGGTGGCTGAGGATTTTGTCTCTCCAGAACATCTGAATCACTGCTTCAGTCTTACCCAGGAATTCAGGCTTCTGTCAGACACACACACCAACCATGAAGACAAACTGCAGGTAATGCTACACACATCAACCTTATAAACACACACAGGCACACACATCAACCTTGTAAACACACACAGGCACACACATCAACCTTGTAAACACACAGACAGACATACACACCAACCTTATAAACACACACAGGCACACACATCAACCTTGTAAACACACAGACATACACACCAACCTTATAAACACACACAGGCACACACATCAACCTTATAAACACACACAGGCACACACATCAACCTTATAAACACACAGACAGACACACACACACCAGCCATGAAGACAAACTGCAGGTAATGCTACACACACCAACCTTATAAACACACACAGGCACTCACATCAACCTTGTAAACACACAGACAGACATACACACCAACCTTATAAACACACAGACAGACACGCACACACCAGCCATGAAGACAAACTGCAGGTAATGTTACACACATCAACTTTATAAACACACACGCAGACACACCAACCACAAAGACAAACTACTGGTACATGTAATACATACAAAGAACCTTACAAACACACACCTCAAGGATATACCATATATACTCGCCTATAAGTCGGTTTTTGGGGAGTTAAACTTTGGTCCAAAATTCTTTATCTGACTTATACGCGAGTTATAAAAAGATTGCTATTTTAGCGGGTCAATCCCTCCAATTTAAGCTTAAAAAATACAACCGACTTATAGGCAAGTATATACGGTACTATTAAACAGCAGGTATTACACAGACAATTACACCTTTAAATAAACCCAACAAACAATTAAAAGGAGGAAAAGCACAGTGTAAGAGAAGCATTATACTGGTAGTTGTTGTAGCCTGAAGTTTTTATTGTGTTCTGTGTGATAATTTATCACTCTTGACAATTAGATTGTTGTGTCACAATAATCCAACCACAGATTACTTATAATTGTAGACGGAGAGTTAGTTATGTTACTTGCATGATAAACTGCCAGAGTTTTTACCAGATAATTACAAACTGTCATATACAGGTTTGATATGCTCAGTTTCTTTTTCTGCAGGTGAAAAACATTATGTATCACGCTGTGAAGGATGCCCTGGCTGTGCTGAACAATGCTGAACCGGAGGAGGACTAGGGAGGGAAACCAGTTTATACTGGGCAACCAGAAAATGGTCGCTCACTACCAGAATAGGATAGTGGAATTCACTTCAGAGGAAAGCTGAAATGGTTAACTTATTTATGGAGGGATTTATTAGTGAGAAATATTCTGTAGACGATCATGACCGATTTTGGATTTCATTTGTGCTAATTGATGCAAACCTTCAAATCGGGCCCAAATTTATGACTAGCTGGGGGCCTTAACCAAACATATCACGTGGACCTTTAGGTAAGGCATGTGTTAGAGGACTTCTAGCCAACACTGTGATACTGTTTACTACTGCTGCAGCAGAGGACACTGCCATCGTGAACACAAAGCTGTCAGAGACTCTCACCAAGTCTCTACAGACACCAACAGTGCTATGCTATTTATGGATTTTCTTTTTTCCTTGACTGGTGGACAATTTTGTTGTCTTTTTTATTTTGTGAATTATGATTAATCCTGTGGATTTGATGTATGGATGATGTAGCTTGGAGCGTAAACACTTTGATCTCATGATTTTGTATTGTATATCAGGGAGTTATGTACCAACTCTGTCTGATGTTATCAGTGACCTTGAGGGGTGAAGGTCATGTGTGACAAACTATGGACAGAGTTTGGGCTGGTGCATTGATTTGAATCCCTTTTGATCTGGGGAGGAACAAAGCAGCTTTGGTCCACATTGTGTAAGAATCTTTGGGGGAGAGATGCTGTATAGTGTGGCCGTGCTAAATTTCTAATACCTATATAGGATTAAGTACAATATACAGAATATATGTACACTAACAAAAGCATCAGTAGAGGTCTTAGCTTGGTTTTTCTTCATCTGCTCTCACAACCCATTACCACACAAAAGCCAAGCGGAGAGCTCTGTATGCTTTCTGTTAGAAAGCTGTTACTGTAAATGAATGCTTTCCAGATTATGTTCTGATGTTTAAAGTTTATTGATATGATTTGTTGATGTCCTTAGAGAGATATATACATATATATTATATATATAATTAATGCAGATTGCTTTTATCAGCCAGGATTAAAGCGAGCAGTGTTTTATTTTCTGTTTGTTTATAGGCTTTTATTGGCTGAGATATATTATATACTTATATAAAATATATTCTATATATACATATATAGAAATAACTGTGAAAAAAGGGAAATAATGCAAAGTTTATCTTTTGTTTTTCCTAGCTTCATAAAAATGTCCCAAAGTATATCATGTCAAATTATGTAGTACTACATGAAACATGGAATTCACTATGTAGAGGAAACGTGTTGAACTGTTCACAAATTGTTGGGAAAATTCTGCATTAAAAAATAATTGCATTAATTGAGTTTTTTTCTTCAGTGAGTTCTTGTAACTGCCAGAGCAATAGAAGACTATCTGGAATGATCTGTACATTGAGTTTTTGAGGACATCCAACCTAGAAATCCTGTATAGAGCAAACATTGTTACAAATAGGATTTTGTTCAAATTTTCAAAAATCATTTAAATGTCTCTATTGAATGGCAGTAAGGGCACCGTCTTTGCTATAGGTAGAAAAGTCGGAGTCGGTCTCAAGTCCTTGATGTTTGAGAAATAAGCTGAACAAACAAGTCTGACAATATTCAAAACAAATGGGATAACATTATAATGTTTTTGCAACATGCATAAAGGTCCACTAATTTTTTTATTTACTTGACCAAATTAACTGTTAACACATGTAATTTATTGTTTGATGCTGGTTTACCATTGTGCTCGAGATAACGAGAAAAATTACATGCCTGAAGAGTTTCTTTACACAGTTGAAAATTCGTAATCCGGCCTGGCTATGGAGAGAGCACAAGATTCCATTTCATGGAAGATTCTAAGCAGTAAAATCAATACCCCACACACGGGGCCTCATTGTGTGTACTTTACTGTACAAATAGAACCATTACCAGGTAAAACTGCCGTGTCAAGCAGCGATTTCCTCACACCGCAATGATTTTAAATTCCACCTTTCTGTATTCTATTAATGGAAAAAGCCTGGTCTATGATCACAAAGCGTAAAATCACTAACTCATGTAAATTCTAATACAGACAGAAATCACTCCAATAGCGGCTAACATGTAAAGTTGAACTTGGATATCTCGAACACGGATGTCTCGTACACCATGGATACCTCGAAGTCAGTTGGAAGTCCCAACTACTTTTTTGTGTATTTTACCCTCAGTATCTTAGAGGCACGACTATCTCGAAGTTTTTTTTTGGTCCTCATCGAGTTGAAGATAACGAATTTTGATGTTGTTGATTTAACAAACTCTGCATTCAACACTTGCCAGACAATGTCAAAAAATGTCAAAGAAAATGGATCAAACACTGAATACAAAATTTACAACCACAAATCTGAAATAGTTAACACTGAAGTAAACATTTGTAGTTCTGTAGCCCACAAAACTTTACAATGTTCACATTTATTTATGTTTACATTTATTTACTTTAAAGGGGGGGGGGGGGCACAGAGCTGAGATGGGCACTATACCAAACTATCTTCATTCTGAAATTTATCAATTTATATGTTTAAAAAGGAAATCCGAGCAATGTTAGGCGATTCCTATAAATAACCTGTCATGAAATATTAAATATGAAAATAGTCGGATAAGAAACCGATCCCCTAACACGAAGAAAAAACACAATCTTATAAATTAACTTTTATTGCTGGGAGAGGAGGGTCAACTACTCACTCTCAGTGCATTTTCTAGACGCATCCGAAAGAAACTTGACGGTCACATAATCAAAACAAATATTGATCTTTCCACCAGTAAGGTCTGAACACACGTTTCTGATTTTTTTTTTAAATTTCACAGGAGTTCGACTGAATTAATGGTACTTCAGCAAGTTTCCTCACCTTAAAAAATGGGGTACAGTAAATTATTGTTAAAATTATTCGATATCACTTGGGGGGGGGGGGGTTAAAATATTTTGTTGTTGAGACATTTGGAAACTAGTTTAGAATTCGCTAATGCTAAATATTTCTGGAATATTACGGAGAGATAAAAAAAAAATCGAAGAGCGTGTCGTCAGACATTATCAAGAAATCTGTAAAAACATGGCGGGGTACGCCCCATTACTCTCCTCCCGTGCTTTTACGGCTTGTTAAAGGGTAGTTCTTTTTTACTTTTATACTTTAACAGTGTAGAAGCTATTGGTGTGTAATTTTTATTAAGCAATCAAGATGATGAAGTACTATTGTTTGTCCGTCAAGGTACCGTAACCTGATAAGATAATCCGTCACATGACCCGACAAGGTTATTTCTCCAGCAGTCCCTGTCTGAGTTACATCAGAAATGGCGAAAACAGGTTTAAAATGAACGCAGGTTTTTTGACTGGTGTTAAATTTCCATGAAACATCATATGTCACTTCACCTTAATATATCTTCCTCTCAGCGCAAACGATGACCTACTTTATAAACATGCTTTGAGATGGTCCCTATGCACCATGAGTCATACTGCACACTTTGCTTTTTGATTGATGGCGCGGTTAAAGATAACCCGCAGGTCACAGAAATGTTTTGTTTGTCTATAAATCAGGGCTGCCTGCGGAATAGCATAACATGCTTATAGCGAAGGGTTTGTTTTTAGTGTTATTATGCTAAAATGTGTATTCCTTTCCTTTTTTTCTGATTCCATCACCACATCCCACTTGCCTGAACTCTTAGCCTTCCTTTGTGGACACTGTTTCTCGTTTCCATTATTAATATGACTAGTTTCAACGACGGAAGAAACAAATGTTTCCCTGGTTTCCAATCTCAATGCATCATGTATGTAACATAGAGCCAAATCAATTAAAGATGGAAATACTCATGTGATAGGTGTTGGAGTCGTAGAATATGAAAGCAAATATTTCATTCTTTAATATACATGTTCATGTTTGACAAGACGGGTAGTTTCTGGGATTGATTGAGCGTAGATAACTCTCTCGGCAAAGTTATCGTAGAAATTGATTTGGACCATGCAGACGTTTTAGCTAGGCCATTGTAGCAGCTTCAGGGACTATGAAGTCAGCCATTAAAACAATCTCGATCGACCCCGACCAGGAGGATTTATGATGACTGTTTATTGATTTTCAGACATTTCTCTGATCAGAACTCGATTTGCCTAATGCAGTTCCCGCATGCTAGGGTCGAGATTTTTCCACTAATTACTGGCCGCTGATGCTGTAAGACTTTGCAGCATCATATCCGATTGTCCCAGAAATATCTCATCCGGTGGTTTTCATGGACCAATCATTGGACGTTTCATGACAAGCGGGAATTATTTTGTCCCGATGCCATTAGTCGGTCTATGCTAATATGCTGAATTCAATTAATAACGGTACTGACATTGTTACACTGGCCGCTGGCTCTTCTCGAAATTCTAAATCCGGAATCTCACTTCATTAGGAATCTGAGTATTATACAGTGCACCTACTCTCTTTAGAGAAGTGGACAGGATTAAGACAACATCCACTAAAGCCTGTCCACTTCCTTAAAGAGAATAGTAGTCCACTTATCGCAATCATGGAGATCACAGTTGCCCCTCAGTTATTCCAAGTGAACATTTGCAACATTAAATCAATAATTTGGGAAGTTATATATGTATGTTTAAAGATTTAAGCAAATATAGCAATTCAAGTGTCCTCGTGCATCACCCTTCACTTGAATTGAGTAAGTCTTAACAGCTTCAGATAGGTGCGATGTCGCCATTCTTTCTTATAGAAGTCTTAATAGCTTCAGACAGGTGCGATATCGCCATTCTTTCTTATAGAAGTCTTAACAAATTCAGACAGATGCGATGTCGCCATTCTTTCTAATAAAAGTCTTAACAAATTCAGACATGTGCTATGTCGCCATTCTTTCTAATAGAAGTCTTAACAGATTCCGACTGGTACAGTGTCGACCTTCTTGGAATTGGAATCCGTTTGTTATTCCTATCTTTTTAGAAAGTCCATTTTCTATTGGAATCGTGTTCTTCTCTGCTGTGCATTGATATCTGTGCTGGTTCTGGTGTCTTACATATTGTTAAATAGTTTTGTATATCATGTATGTAAGTATGGTTCCTGTACACGTGTTCTGACTTTGTTCAGGTGTAGCAATTCAAATGTATAGACAAGAACAAAATCTAAACGGAGTACAAGGTTGAACGGATGACTGATAAGGTAGCTCTGGTAACAGGGTTAAGCGAGACTTTTTAGTTTGATACTCGCGCTTTTTCGTACAGATTTAGATGTCTTTTTTTTTTTTGGTTCCATCAGGACTAGACAACACGTGCGTCGTTACTGAAATGCCAGTTTCGTGTATAGCACGCACGACAGGTCCGCTACTGGTAATTCATGCATTATTTAATGTGCTGTAGATTTTATTTTGCATGATTAATAAATAGCATTATTATTTAAAATTCCTGCATATCTTATAAGATTTTCTTTTATTTTTGACCTCTGAACGTCAATCGTTAAACAAACATCAATCTTACCTCGATACTATTTAGTTTAAAAGACAAAAACTTTTCCTACCGTATGCAATCAGAAACGTACCTTTTCGTGTGTATGGGAAGAGGGAGAGCACTGGCGGATTTAGAGGGGGGCCAAGGGGCCCGGGTCCACCTTTTGTGACCAAAAATATACAAAAGATTAATAAATCATTTTGTTTGGTGTGGAATATTGTTGTGCATTAATTATACCTAAAATATTGCTAACATAAGTCCAAAACTGTTTAAAAAAAAACCTCCAAAAACCTGAGAGATTTCGGGGGCCTCACCCCCTTGGCCCTCACCCCGACCCCAAATTGGTCCCTCTTTGAAGAATCCTGGATCTGCCACTGGAGAGGGTTAAAAGCTACAATATTCACAAATTTTATAGCATATGGAAAAGATTTAACAAATTCAGGACACGGAAGCAATCTGAGAACATCCTTACCTAATTCCTCAACTGTTTGTTTAATTTGATCATCTTTCGTATTATCTGAGTAGATCTGCTAGTTACTCATATTTCTCAAGAGTCTGTCCTTTATTTATTTCATCGTCAATAGTGACAGATCCCCCGTGAATTTCCAGGGTCATTCATTGCTTCATTTGGAATCGATTCTTTGTCGTTATGCAAAATTCCCAAAAATAAACACATAAAGACTAAAAAAAAAAAACCATAAAGTGGAGGCACCTAGTATGGGGGGGGGGGGAGGAACCTCACCGACAAAACAAATTGTGAAATTTGGACACTTTTTTGTTTTTGTTTTTGCTTATGTTTTTTTTTTCTGCATTACAGCTAATTTTTTGCCTTTTCCCAACTTGAAAAAGAAATCATATGTCCATGAAAAGTTCAGTTCAAAGCACAT